TCGATTTTGAGTAGGATGAAGGTATTTTCACGAGTGGCTCCTGGGGATAACGTATGGAAAATTCGATTTTCCATCACAGAAATGAAAGACGTCCTGGTGCCCATATTTTCTCGCAAGCTGTGTTCACCAGAGGATTAAATAATAAATCCTTTCGTGAAAACAAAGAAGGGGGTGTTGCAGGTGGCTAAATAATAAGGGCGTAATCTTGTAAGGAAAAATCGAGATTTTGGGCGATTTTTTCACGCAAGCCCATCGGAAGGATGAAAATCTACAAAGTTGGTAGCAAGAAAACATATTGGCTTGAATGTCGCGAATGGAAAAGTACATTTTAGGGTAAAATCAAATTTTCCATATGTTATCCCCAGGAGCCACTCGTGAAAATACCTTCATCCTACTCAAAATCGATGTACTTTTCAACCCTCTTCGAGGCTTGTATATGCGAAAATGGGGCACCTAAATATGTCACTATCTGACGGTCTATAGGAGATTCCATCTTATTAAATGGCAACGTAAATAAAATTAGGAGATTCCGTTGTGTGGGCTCACATGTTTATTGATTGGTACCTACTTTACTGGGACCAAGTTCTAGGGTCAAAAATTTGCCATTAAAAATAAACAACTTTCTGTGGACGAATTATGCATGTTGAGGAATTATCAGATAAGGGATAATGGAAAGTAGATAAAAAAGAGAAAACTGAAAATAAACAACACGAGTAGAATGAAACTTCTCAGACGCAATTTTCTCTAGATATTAAGCGGCGACGATGAAGACTCCCTACTAAATAATAATGTGATACTTGATAATACATCTGATGGACCTTGTGGTAAAAGACTTCTTTTGAAAAATCAGAATTGCGATCTTCATGCAATAGATATTTAGCTCAGTTAATATTTTTCCTGTTAGGTATACCTAGTGATAAAAACAACAAACCAAAAAAAAATATTCCGGGTCAATAACAACTTTTATATAACAAATTGACTTGAAAAAATGTCTGTATCACTTATCACTTTTAATTATTCAAACTGTACACAACAAATCTCGTATATTTAAACACTCTACTATGCTCTATTTGTAGATGACTTTGTTTTCGGGATCTATCTAGAAGAATTTGTTTATTCAAATATAATAGAATTCCCAGAACAGACGTGGTCTAAACATCTACAAATGGATTCTTAGTCTAGCCGAGCTCTCGACGCAATTTCGTGAAAATGCCTCCCTCTCAAATTAGATTGTTCCGATCTGACCATTTATGCTCGTGATAAATCTTCAACCTCTCAAGACGCACCATCTTCATCTTATCTTTGGTGCCGCGTTGGATTCGATACACCACGTCGTTCAGTCTCTTCATAATCGTGTACGGGCCTTCCCATACTGGTGTTGGCTTTGAAGATCTGCCTTTCTACTTTTGAGGGTTATAAAGTAAAATCTGTCATTATCCTGGAAACCTAGAGAGTTTGCCTTAAAATTTAGGTCATATCTTGTTTCCATTTAGTCACTTGCGATAGGGCCGCCGCTAGGGTGTTAGCCGACCCACTCCCCTCCAAAGTACAAAATTAAGAGCGTTGGAATGGAATACAATTTCTAGACTTTAAGACTTAGCGTATGAGTCGTGGTAAGGATGAAGGAAGGACCACACAAAATGGAGGTGCGCATCTGTAGTGACGTCACAAGGGTATCGGCGCTTGACAATAATAGGCAATCCTCTTTGCTTATAATCCTTGATTTGTATCAATCGTTCGTCGGCTGTCGATGTCATTGGCCGTCTTTCTCCGTTTCTCTACGTACATTTTTCTTCTCTCTCGTGTAACGAAATTTCCCAAAACGTGACGCGTCTTTCATATCAATCTCCATTCTCGTCCAAATATGAGACCACCGCTTTAAGAAGTTTCGCTTCAAAAATCCAGTTAGTTTGGTCCGCTGTAATGTTCGGGTGCGTCTGTGGCCGACATTTGATAACCCAATAAAGAATAAAATTTGCCAACAAGTGTTTATTTGCTTGTATTATGATATTGTTATCAAATGCAGGGCTACAATACAAATTTGTGAAAAAATGCTTTCGGTTTATTTTCGTTATACCTTGATGGGTTTATTTTTTTTGATAGATTTATTTCCGATAAAAATCGATAAATATGATTTATTCTGAAGTGAAACTTCTTAGGTCTGATATATGGACGAGAATGGTGAGTGATTTGAAAGACGCGTCTCGTAACGTCACGTTATGGGAAATTTGGTTACACGATAGAGAAGAAAGAGATAACGTAGAGACGGAGAAAAGCAGCCAATGACAATGACAGCCGACGGACGATTGACACAAAACAAGGATTATAAACTATTATTGTCAAGCGCCGATACCCTTGTGACGTCACTAAAGATACCCGTCTTCCTTCGGCTTTACCCCGACTCATACGCTAAGTCTAAAAGTTGTATAAGGGGGGATAGTTTTTAATGAGTTTAACTTCTAGGTGCATCTTTGTCCAAAATAAATTTTCCGTGTACGCGCAGGGAGTCAAAGATAGGGCTGCCTTTAGCCTCGAGCTGAAGCTACATAACAGTCGAAGGTTCAATCCAAAATAGCTTTTTCTTCAGTAAGTTTATTCAACGGCGTTGCCACCTTAGCAAATCCTCCAATAAATCGTCTGTTATATATTTACAAAGCGCAAGGGAACTTCAAAGCTCATACTTGGCCAAGGTCTAGGCCATTCACTCTTAGAAGAGTGAAGATTTAATCGGAGGTTCACTTTACGTATACGAGTGAATACTTCTTGTAGGTTTCATGAGTGTTCATGAATAGTTTTAGGTTTTTCCCATCATTATAGACCGTCAGCCAATGACATATTTTGCTAACCGATTTTCTCTCTTCGGGGATTTCAACTTTCAACCACTGAAAAATATGTCACTGCTGAGCTCAAAAAATGAAAAGTTAGCGGCCGGACGTCTGCTAGGCATATGGAAAACTTATTTTCCTCTTGCAGAAAAAAATAGGTTATTTTTTCAATTTCTCTTCCATGACATTTTAACATATTAACATTATAGAACAATCTAAAAGTGAAAAACCAAAGCCATAAGGTTTGCATGTACTGAAAGGGCTGAAATAAGGGCGCGATCTTGTGAAAGAATATTCGGTGGCTGATCTTTTTCTCGCTTATGGCAATCGACAGAAACAAATTTGATATCGTTAGGAACCAGAAAAAAAAATCCCATAAGCCAGTCAGCTGTTGAGGTATATTTTACGGCCGCTGCAAAAGGAAAGTAAATTTTCCATACGCCTAGTCTTTGGCCTAGTAGACGTCCGGTCGCTAAATTTCAATTTTTTGAGCTCAGCACTGACATAATTTTCAGTGGTTGAAGTCCCCGGTCAGCAAAATATGTCATTAGCTAACGGTCTATTAACACACCGTCCAACCCAGACAACGTCTATAAGTAGACAAGGTATACTCGTAATACGATTTCCATCACCCTCTCAAAACGTACAGAGTCCAAAAGGCATCAAGTACCTACTTTATTGAATTGGTGAAAACCACTTCCAGTGGAGAAAGCTGTCTTTTCCGGAATTTCCGGTGCCAACCCTGCCAGGATCCACTTTCCATCCAAAGTAGAAAACCAATTTAAGTCTGTCAATATCGTAAAGGGTATCGTTAATTCTGGGTAATGGATAACTGTCTGTGTTAGTGTCATATTTGAGCTTTCTGTTTTCGACGAAAAATCTGGTGAATCCATTTTTCTTCGTTACTAGTACAATTGCCGATCACCACAAACTTGGAGACTCTTCAACAACTCCCTCTGCAAGCATACTATCAACTATATCATGACTCCGTTTCTCGTTTTTTCTTCACATTTTGTCTCTCCGTCAGAGTGTTGCTTAACGTTGAAATCCCGATTCGATTTATAACTTGGCATGCGCCAGTTACACACTGGGTACACACTACGACAATCTAGAACGAGTTCTAGAACTGGTTAGGACTAGAACTAATTTGGAATGTGATCAGCGATCGCTTCACCGGATGATGAAGTAGAGTGTAAAGAAGATAGCAGATCGCATATTATTTTCGTGTCCAGTATCGATTCACAAGATATACACACTCTTTTGGGAATCAGACCTCACCCATGTGGACTAGGTTCAAAATCGCCTCGCTATCGATAGGGGCTGTCAATTTTCATACGCAGAATGAGGAAGCACAATAGACCTCAGATCGTCTAAATTAAAATTTGGGTGTGGCGTGTCGCAAAAAGCATTTCGCCTGTGGCTCTTCTTTTCATCTAGACGTCTTTCTTTGGATCATTTTACTTGATTTGATAGGTTCTCCTCCTCCCCTTTCGCACGCAAAAATTTACCTGATGATGGTTGACGCGAAAAAAAACTCGAAACGAAATATTCGTAATCTCACTGTGTACCTACATACTGCAGTCAACACAAAAGTTGCTCCAAGAAATAGTCGCAAAATAATAACAAACAAGAGAATATGAAGACTGCGTTGTCGTAAATGTAATTGCAAATCGTTTTTTCAAAATATCTCGAAAACCAATAATTTTGTAAATCCTCAAACATCCCGGCACAATTTGAGTCACTGTATAGCTTTCCTGATTCAACTCAAGACCCTCATTTTTTTTTCGTATCTAGCTTCCTGTGGTTTGGATGAAATATTTATAGAAAGACTTGATACAAAATTACAGAAAACTGTTTACATTTTCAATTTCTTCCATTAAACAAAACTGGGCAGTAAAATTCACGCTTTTAAGTACCTATTAACATGATATTTTCTTCAAGAACCGATTTTACTTGAAGTAAAGACCATCATTTTGGAAATATTGAAAATAATTACATATTTCATTAGTGATAATGAAAAATTCTATTCGCAGCCATCTTCATATTAAAAGTTTTATATTGTGGGAGTAACTTCCTTGTCACTAATATATGTCTGGACAACACGGAATCGACTAAATTTAGTTGGGCAGGAAGTTCTAATGGGATTTTAAACTATTTAAGATACTAAGAATATTTTTCTTTAGGTTATATTTGATTTTACGGAATTTATAAATTTAACTTAAGATAATGTTACTATAGATATAATTCTTCTAGGAAATGTTTGCGGAATGGTAAAGCATAAAGTCAGTTCAATTATATATTAATTTTTATGTAGTGATGCGTAAATCTATAAATAATTTATGTTTTCTTCAAATCCAATTGACATAAATGCTATAAACAATCTTGTACTATTTTCTCATAATTTCATCTATAAATTTGAAAAAAACTTAAATTATTAGATGTATATTACATATTTGCTTTATGGAAGCTATGCCCCTTATAATAATTTGACTCTTCTAACTTTTTTCTAAAATTTGAAACATATTACAACGTGGATATTTTTTAGCCTAATTTTTTTTGGATCACATATAAGTTATTTTTTAACGATGTTTTAAAATCTAGGTACATTAATAATGGCTTAGTTTATCCTTGTCTAAAATGTATTCGACTTGCAAAATATTATTTTCAAATGGCATAAGTAAACATATATTTATCTTTTTTTAAATTTAATATTAATAACCAACACTGTTGGTATTAGTTAAAATTAAATAAAAATGCGTGTTGAAATAGTTTGAAGAAAAATATTACACAGTATAAACAGAGGGTGCCTTTTGCAGTTGTTAGCTGATATTTGATAAAGATGAAAAATGTACCACTTGTTTTTATCACAGAATATCATGCTTATTTGCGATAATCATCGTAAAATATGGTGCCAAGAAAAGCAACTATAGTCAAAAACACGAACATTTCTTAATCATTTTGGATTCGTTTTCGCCACCTGAATTAGAGTGCCAACGGCACTTTCAACAATTTTTAAATAAATAGGCCTATATTTTCATATAGGTAGTTACTCAGGTTTTCGGATGATGGCAAATTTTTAAGTCGAATTAATACAAGGCCCTGTCTAACCTATTTCTTTTAGACAAAGATAATTTTCTAATAAGGGATATAGGGATGTTCACTGATCACACCAAACCAAGTCCACCACCATATCAGAAAACAAGTACTGGTGAGGAGACTAGTGTCTTGTTTGTCAGGAGGATATTGGCAAACCCGTAACAAAAGATATAGCCAAACTAGATAACGCCTGTGATCACTACATTTTTAAGAGAGACATCACTAACCCATAAAGCTTTACGCAGTCGGCGCTTACCTGCGTTATTTGGTCATAAAAAATCGGTTCACTACCTTCTACAATAAAGTTACCACATCGGCAGCAGTTTGCATAGCTGTTACAGGGGACCAGCGCTATCCCGGATACAACTTCCGATAACAACTGTTACAACTAACCCAAACCAAGTCCACCACCATGTCAGAAAACAAGTACTGGTGAGGAGACTAGTCGCTTGTTTGTCAGTAGGATATTAGCAAACCACGTGACATTCAAGATGGCGTGGCGGCCACACATGGACCAGAAAACACACAAAAATATCTAGTGTCTGCCCGACCTAATAGTTCACGTACTTGGTGAACAAATTTTTTCTTGAATAATCAAAATCAAACCTGCAAGCACAACTCGAAGCAAAATAATTGAAATATGCATGAAAACACATATTCAAAACAAACTTGCTGGCCGCCACGCCATATTGAATTTTTCGTTTTGACAGATGTATTGGATTACCTAATTGGCAAATCCGTAACAAAAGATATAGACAAACTGGATAACGCCTGTGTGATCACTACATTTTTAGGAGATATAACACTAACCCATAAAGGGTTACGCAGTCGGCACTTACCTACGTAAATTGGTCATAAGAAATCGGTTCACTACCTTCTGTAATAGTCACCACGTCGCCAGCAGTTTGCCTAACTGTTACAGGAGACCAGCGCTATCCCGGATACAACTTAAAATGAAAACTGGTAAATTAGGTACATCAAAATGCCGTTTGAAGAAAAAGAAATACCGCCTGGGTTTAATATCATGTCACATGAGCCATTTAGTTTACCCATAGCTACAAACCAGAAGCAATAAAAGGAATTTTAAAGGCGGCACCGAATGTCACCGATGCGGAAAAAGAGGACATTTTAAATGAGACCGAAGAGGACCCACGGCTGAGATCTCGGTCTCCTTCTAGTGACTCTTAGCGTCCGATGGAGAAGTTGCAAGGGTACAATTTTTGAATCGTTCTGGCAAAATGCACAACAACGGAGATTCCTTACCCAGGCGACAATGCCCAGTTCAATGCAAGTACTGCCTCAGAATAATATAACTGCGGGAAGGAAACCCTGTCAGAAGCTGGTTTGAGTTCCGAACAGCTTCGTTCGTTAGCCAGCCTTTCGAGCCAATGCTCTACACTTCAGCCTTGGAGGATTTTTGTGTCTCATTATATAGACTCTACTCCTTCCTATTCATACTTGGAGACTTAGCGGCAGTGCGGGCGACCTATCGTCCCATATTACTGCGGTCACCCATCCAATCTCCATCCCGACACCCTATAACTTGGCCTACGTAAAGCGACTTTCTTCTATCACCAAGTACCAGCGTACCGGGTTTTGAACAGCTTAGAGGTTTATTATTTAGCGATTAGATAGCGACTTGAAGCCGATTCTGAGCATAAAGCAAATCTGCAAGAGATCCAAAAAAAAAAACTATAAAAAAAAACGGCGAACGAAGAAAGAACAACCGGGAAGATTAATGGGATATGGCTGCTGATCCAGAAGGCCAATATTACCTTTCAAACAGACGCTTTACAGAGTCTGATGAGAAATAGGTAGGTACTACAAGTGCTACGACCATCCGTGCAGATAAGGCGACTGGCAGCATGGCAACAGGTTACCATTCTAGTTCTCGCGATGTCAGTCCATGGGAAAAAGAAACAGGCAGACCTGGATGGACAGCAGAGCATCCTAGAGGGTATTCAGTCAGGCATAAAGATGATAAGCATGTGGTAAGTCGGGGTGATGAAGATGATTACAAGTACTAAGGGACTCTGAAAGGCATAGTAGGTACTGCTGCTAGTAGATGGAGAATAATAAATGGAATTATTGGAGATCTGAGTGGAGGCATGAACGTAGAAGAGAAGGTGGTGCATCTTGACAAGTACAAGGCGAATAAATGGTCAGATCGAGAAGATCTGATATGACGGAAAACGCGACGACACTGTGCAAGGCCGGAGCGGGAATATTCAGGAATTCGTTTCCATTTTGTGATTTAAACGAACAAGAGTTAGACAAGGAAAGCTTTATCTCTTCTTTGGTGATGTCTGGCTCTCAACGGTAATGATGTTTTCATTACCTATGTCGACAATTTTTTGTTAGATATCGAATTGCATATAGGTTTTACGTCAAAAGAACGCATGTGTTGCTGTTTCTCTCGCAAAAACGACTGGTTTGAACGTATTTACACATTTCTTTTTTTTTGAATAATTAATAGCCACAATTAAATTAGAACCTTTTAAATTGTAGACCGACTTCGCTGTAACCAATATGAACATTTGAACGTGAAAAATCTCGTTTTTTCTGACAATCAACAACTAAGTAAACAACAATCGCTGCTGTCCCATAGTAACTGGAAAAAATAAAAAATAAAAAAAACTAGCATTTCAATCCCCTCACAGATGAAGACATCACCTTATTTTAACACTAACGCCAATACTACATAACGTTATTTAGGCTATCTCTCTAATACCTTTACAACTCCTGTAGATGTTAGATACTTGACTAAGATTTTGGATACGAACTTTCAGTTTAATTCGACCAACATCTAGTTAATTTTTCTTATGGCCGTCACATTGAATTTCATGCTCAACAGGAACATTTTATGATTGACTGGTTATTAATGCCAAGCTTTTGTGCTCTTAGGATGGGATTTATCTATGTTTCTTCAATAAGGTAAATTTTATAAATGTAAGCAAGAAGTTTCTTTTTTAACAGAACAGCAATTATTAGTTTTTGTATTTTACCAATCTAATTTTTAAATTGATTTGTGTTTCAATGTTATTTTCTGGTGGACATCCCTATATCGAATGCACTGCAACACTTACAAAACAATACTTAATTCAAACATTTTAATATAAACTAGTTTTAGGCTAGTAATAATACTAAGTCTCTTGGCTAGTCAACTGAGTGTCCAAAGCAAATAAAGACAATTCTAGAGATAATTTCTCAAAAATATGTCAAACAAAATGATATTAGATTTCCTAAGACTTTTTAAATAGAGCAAAAAGACAACACATTTGATAAATTTTGAAGAAATTAAAGGCAGTTTGCATAGTTTTTTTAAAAATATTTTTGACATAGCCTCCGTCTTTTTTGCTCCGGACATTACAGATGAATTGCCACGGCTGAATATATAATTTATATACCTAGGTAGGTAATTACTGAAAAAGTACATTACAGCAGCAATTAATAAAATTTCTACAATGCATCTATTTTCAGGATTGCTGATTCTCGCAGTAGTTTTTATAACTCTCATTTTGCTAAAATTATTTTTCTTTTGAGCCAAATATTTTATTGAACACAGGATATTGAAAAACTGAATATAAACGTTTTGGGAGTTTGCATTTTGAAAACCGTGGCATGGATCAAGAAACGACTGTCATTAGGACATATTTTTTTCAACATGAAATTTATTTATTTGTTCACTTTTTGTTATTTGCGGAATGTTCGCTCGACACATTTTTGTCACTAATGCCACTGAGATTTTTCGTTAAATATCATAAACTTGGTTCGTATATGTGGATAAGCCGTTAGTGTGCCAGATACTGGCTATTGATATCCAGCATGAGAATCAAATTTCCCTATTAGAATAAATAATGTAGCAGCCAAATTCGAGTTTTATGTCTAAAAGTTTCTTTCTGAGACGAATAACAAAAAATAACGATTTGGAAATGGTCAAATGTAATTCTCACTATCCTGGGATTCGACTGAAAGTGTGGCAGATACGCTACAACTAAAGAGTAACTGAATATCCGGCACAACTCTAGATTATTTCTTGATTTAAGGCTGCTGTGTAACTGTATGGGGTAGACAGTGCCAACATTAGGAGAAGTAGGTGAGCATTTTGATTCTTGAAACGTTTGTGTTCAGTTTCAAACCTGTGATTCAGTTTGAGGTTACAATTTAAATATGGCAACATTGGTTTGCTGGCTGCCATATATGGCTGAAATTTGACATGTGTCATAAGTGAGTATTGACATTTACGAATATGGAGCGGTATTCAACACAAAACCGCATTTTAATTGATAAAACTTATTTCTGAAATAGAGAAAATGTAACTAACACGGATGGTCACATACATACACGGTTTCTCACTGCGGCAACATTTTCGATTGATCGACCACTGCGAGGACGTATTGGTCTTTGGACATCCAACACTGATCCGGTTCGGTTAAATTTTTGAATCAATTTGTTAACCGCAGCACGAGATGGACGGTTATGGTTACCAAAGTCATTTCGTAATGCACGAATCGTCTTTGTTATATTTTCTCCATTTCGGAAAAAGGTTTTAGCAATTAAAATGCGTTCTTGTGTTGGATACCGCTCCATATGCGTAAATGTCAATACCCATTTATGACACATGTCAAATTTCTGCCATATATTGCTGCCAGCAAACCAGTATTGCCATATTTAAATTGTAATCTCAAACTGAATCACCCTATTATAGTATACAATATTTTTTATACTATGTGTCACTATTAAATGCAATATTATTCAAATATACAGACAGGACTAGGCTACTAGACACATACGACTGGTACCCAGGTCACTGCATGTTATTAAAATCTGTGCATCTTCAGCAGCATCGTCTCGATTGCCCTAAGCCACATACCAGCTAATTTGTCTTATTACTTCCTATGTGTCTACTAGGTGGGTCCAATCTGTATAAGTATACTAACCATTTCTACAGTTGGTATACTTATAAAATGTGAGATGTCTTAAAAACCTATCAAAAGTTTGCAACAATAATTAATATTCTTTGGTATTAGTGTATTTAATAGCACATTTTTATTCTACGCTTTCTGTTCAATAATGTAGCACTTATAAACAGCCAGTTGACCAAATAATAATAAAAAATATAAATAATAAACAAATATACTTAGAAAAAAGTTCAGAAAGTTACGTTAATTTATGTAATCATAAACTTAAGGAAATATTACCTAAAAAAGAATAACAGCCAAATTAAATTCACAGACATAGGTGATTAAGAATATCAAGAATAAATAAAAAATAAAAATATACAAATAAGTATCTCCAATTTCTTCAGGAAAATTTGCAAAATAACATTTTTCCACTAAATAATTATTCTACTTTATAATTATCTATGTTAACAGTTTTTCCAGAATTTTAGTCTCAAATTTGTAATTTTGATCGAATGAGAAAGGTTTTGCTACATTCATATTTTTCAGTTTAGATCTAAATTTTAAAAGCACTGACTTTTCCAAAACTTTCCTTATTTCATTCACGTTCACGTTGCGCCTTTATTAATGAGCAAGATTCTAATATAGAGCTCTAAATTTTGGAAAGCTACACTGTATAACCCAGAAACATTTAATCACTGAATTTCAAAATATGTACTAATACTTTTTTGATGTTTTTTGATGCCTACTAAGACACGAAGTAAGGATAGTAAAAATGTTGAAAAGTAAGTATGAATATTATTTTAAATAATAGAAAAAAAAAATCAGTTTTGTAAAAAAGGCAAGCATCTTTTGGCCTAGAAACCGTTTTCTTATAAATTAAAGGAACTAGAATAGCAACTAACAACTATTTTGTTCTTTACCTCTTTTTTTCTCCCAATCTTCAATTTTACCACTCATCAAAAATTAAACTACAAACATGACATGCCTATTAGAATTAAACTGTTACCAGGATTCTTACTTCCTGGCAAACCAAGGTTTGGTGGGTCCTTTAACTGTCATCTCTATAGCGTGTTTATAAATTTCATAAAGAAACAAACTTGCCAATATTATCAGAAATGATCTGTACAGAAACTTTTTGATATAAAGATGATAAGGTACATGTATGTATTCATACAATCTGCCAAGATGATACGGTAAGTTTATATAGATGAGCAACCATGCAAAAAACTATTGACGTGGTCGAGCTGGTAGAGGTGGTGGAGGAGCTGATCTAGCTGGGACTGGTGGGGGCCGAACTAGAGTCGCTGGTAAGGTGGCTTCTGCTCGTGGTGGCGGAGGAGGAGGAGGACCTAAATTAAAATCGTTAAAACCATGTAAAATGCAGATTTTTTAATATAGAATTGAAAACTCATCAGGGTATCAAAACACAAACAAACAAGGACAGTGTATGTTGACGCAAACTTATACAGGATAGCAACAGCAGGCAATCAGAAGATTGAATAAAAAAAGGCCAAAAGTCTACCAGAATTTTGTGACATCAATATCAAAAGAAGTTTTGGGGCTTGATCATTGGGTTTAATACTCCAAAAATAAAAAAAATCTCAAGGGCCAGGAATTGGAGAAGGAGTTTTCACATTCTAAATGCATTTTTCATGAGAAAATTCAGGTATAAGATATGTTTGTGTCATCAGTAGTTGCTGACAATGGACAAAATAGGGTGGAATCAGTGTCAACAACAATAGACAGAATGCTGTGTACTGGGACAAAAGTACAGGGTGCTGCAATTTGGAGTGTTTTAACAGGAAAAACATACTTCCATACCAGATAGACGAAAATTGACTTAGATGTCATGGGATTGATTGTCGAGAAACGTCGAATGTCAAAAACCGCATCGCGATATCTTCAATGGTACCATTAATACAGGGCGATTTTCGATTTTCCCCTATTATGAAAAATGGCTATAAGTTTTTTATTTGTCAATTTTTTTTATTTCTGTAAAAACATTATGGAGACACTTTTTTGAGCACAATTCAGTGGCGGACTCAGTTTTTTTCTATATTGTTCCGATTTCGAAATATCGACCAAACTCCGATATTTTCAAATGAAACACCCTATATATTAATAGCTCATTGGATAGCTCTGTTTTTACTGATTTCAATGATATAAACTTCGATAGGTTTATCTCTAACAGTTTTCGAGAAAAAAAATTATATGTTTCAGTCATAAGAAACAATGTGTTAGAAAGAGACCTTCCTCTTCTTCCTTACACATATAAAATCCTTTTCTAACACATTGGTCCTTACGACAAAAACAGATATAATTTTTTTTCTCGAAAACTGTTAGAGATAAACCTATTGAACTTTATATCATTGAAATCAGCAAAAACAGAGCTATCCAATGAGCTATTAATATTTAGGGTGTTTCATTTGAAAATACCGGAATTTGGTCGGTATCTCGAAATTGGAACGATATAGAAAAAAACTGAGTCCGCCACTGGATTGTGCTCTAAAAAGTGTCTCCATAATGTTTTTACAGGCATAAGAAAAATTGGTAAATAAAAAACTTATAGCCATTTTTTATAATAGGGAAAAATCGAAAATCACCCTGTATCAATGGTACCATTGAAGATATCGTGATACGGTTTTTGACAATTGACGTTTCAGAAAAATCGATCCCATGACGTTTAAGTCAATTTTCCTCTATCTGGTCTGGAAGTGTGTTTTTCCTATTGAAACACTCCAAATTGCAGCACCCTGTACATGGACTGGAAACAGAGTAAAATGTCGCTAAGCTCTGAAAAAAAACCAAACCGGAAAAAAATCTCTTCTATGTGTGTAGGGCAATGAAATTAGTGTGTAGTGAGCAAAATATGTTGTTTCTACCCATACTCTTTTGACTTGCTTTTTCTTGTGGCATTCTCACCTTGTGGTTCTGGAATGTTAACATTAACATCATCAATAATTTCTTCATAAATGCCACCATCTTGATCTTGAGAAATCATGGATGGCAGTTCAGGAGGTGGCACATTAGGTGGAGCGCCAGAAGATGCATTATTACTCCCAGCAGGGTAAGGAGTAAACACAGGAGGTGCCGTTGGATTGACGGGAACCCCTTTCAATGGTATACTAATCACTCCCGCCTTAGGTGGTGGCTTTTTGGCTGGCGAAACTTTCGTAGCTGGAGGAGGTGGTCGGTTAGGAGGAGCAGGTCTGGCAGGAGGCATACCCTTTTGTTGGACCTCAGGAATCCCTAGACCTATGGAAAAATAATAATTTAAAAAATATATATATATACAAAAGTTGACAATTACACTAATCCAGGATTTGTGAAACACTTAGTAATTTTAAAAAATAAATAAAATCTGAATTTAATTTGCAGATATTTTTGAGGCTCAATGGATCAGAAATTTGACGCATAATTTTGACAAATTTCTTTAAAGAATATTTAGTACCAGAAAGTACTTTGTTTCTCAGCTTCTAGCCCTCAGAGTTGCCAAACACGAATACAAACCTATGTGTGGGATTTTGCCACAATTCTAGCAGCTTTTTTTGTATCTCTGGCAACTTTAAAGAATAGAATTCGCTTTTCCCTGGACCTGGTTTTGTGAAAGTACAATTGAAAAATACTTACAGTTATAATTCGACTGGTTTGGTGAAGAATATAAAGCAACTGTGTTACTTGAACACAATCCTATTTCATCTTTTGTCCTTTCGACCCAATCGGGTGTCTTAAGGCATAAAGTAAGATCGTAATCTTGAATCTAGAAGATAAAAACCACATTGAACTTTTGAAAGTCCGTCTTATAATTACTTACTCTAATATAGCCATTGGTCTTCTTCATTGCTTCTAATGCTGATTGACCTTCCCTAAAAGTTATCCACATAGTATCTGCAACAAATCTCACCAAAATAGTTTCTCCAAACTGTGCAAATTCTTCCAGAAGAATCATGACCATGTTATCATCAAAAATTGAACCATCTTCTTGATCAGAAGCATCTGAAATAGATATAAAAATGCATTTTTTCACAGGTGGGCTTTCAAGTGTACTGAAAAAAGCCCAAGTAGGTACAGAACATGTAGTCAAAATAAAGTACTATATTCAAAATTTGCCAGTTAAAGCAAAATAAATAAATAAAAAATTGAAGCAACACTCGATTTTTTTCCTCGTTTTTTTTTTTAAAGAACCTCTGAAGATCCATTAGATGCAAAAATTGCTTCTCAACTTCTTTTTTCTGACTTGAATCTAACCAATTGTTCACCAGAACCACTTATTATTTGACTTTACTAGGGTCGGTGTCTCCCTGAAGGGCTGGAAATAAGCTTGAAATCTTAAAAAAGTACAATTTTTCAAAAAGTAGCCTTAAAAAAAAATTAAACGTGTTTTTTTTATTAGCTCAATAAAAATAATAATTTTCAATAAGTTACCTTCACAATGAACAATAATTGTGGAATCAGGTGGCCCCATATCCTTGATAACTTCGTAAAAAACTTCTTGCCTTTTAGCTGTATCTAAAATTCTGCATTCTATATCCACAATAGCTATGACAGGCCTATGGTCGCTTTGCTTTAATTCTGCGCGGCCGTAATGAATCAAATTTCCAGGAGACCAATTATCGCTGGAATCATTTATATCAGGTGAATGTTTTCTCCTCTTCCAAAGTACTCTATCTGTCCAGGCTGGAGCACGACATTTTTCGCTAGTATCATAATCGTCACTGAAGAGATCATACTTGTAAGTTGGTGGAAATGAAATTTTTCCTTCTATGAAGTTTTTAAAAACGTTGCCTTCATTTTGTTGTTTCTGGCAGAGAAAAAAAGTTTAGAAATCTGTCTCAAATGGTAAAAAGATCAGAATACCAACCAACAATTGATCACATTCGAGTATTCGATCGAAATTTCCCTGTTTAACCAATTCCTTAATTTCTTCTTTATCCATGTCTATCCTATAGTTGAAGTCTCCACACCAAAATAAATATTCATGGGAGTTTAGGGATCGATTCTGAAGAACAACACGGTAGGTTACATCAAAAATTTGAATTTGTATTATTAGTCAGAATTAGTTAAATAAAGATAAGTTGGCATATAGTACATGTAGAATGGAAGAATGTTTATTGATCTGAAATAAATTTGATTTGAAATTTGAGGTAAACTCAAAACTAATAGCTGAATTTGAAAGACAGTTTTCAGGCCCTTTCGAAACATAAGAGTTGCCAGTGAAAATAAATTGAATGTATATAAAAAAAAAAACTGAACTCACTGCAAAAAATCAATAAAAAAAAATAATACACAAACTTTTTTTGTTTACTTTCAAAATTTATAATTTACACCAGTTTCAAATTTAAAAATGTGCTAAGTCACAAGGTAAGTAAAAAATACAGGAATATGTATAAAAAAATTACCCATTGAAGGCTTCATAATTGTCAAACCTAGTTTATAAACAGGGAATGAGTGGCTCATACTTTGTTGTTTTTTTCAAATGTGTTTTTAATGGAACATGCAATAAATTAATACAGGGTCTTACCATTGGAAAAGCAATCTTCCTAGTAATTTCATTATAATCCGCATTTCTTTCTGTGACTTGCGATTGACCAGCTGCAAAATGTGCACAAACAAAACATAGAGAAGTTGCATGAAAAACCAAACGTATTGCAGCTGCACCTTTGTTACCTGAAAGAAATCATTAATAGACACTTACATATATTCACCAAACATGTAATTTTACCAGTATGACCACCTAATCCAGTCTTAACAGAATCAACAGCAACATCTTTAATATAAGGAGCATGTTCAGGTCTAACAAAAACATACACACAAACCCCAACAAGTTGTTGATAAGTCACCAGTGCATAAGGACAATCTCTTGATAATACTTTCTGAAGTTCTAAAGCCCAGGCTTTAGCATTTTCAGTGCTGGAATTTACAATATTTGCTGCATTTAAATCAACAATTTCTTCAAATCCAATTGCATATATATCAACAGGGGTCAGTCTGTTAACATCTGAGCCAAAAGTATCAACTAGGTTTTGGTCACTTTTATGATTATCAAGAAGCCAGTCAGATAATTTTATATCTTTAAAAACCAAACTTCGAAAATGTTTACCGCCATTAACGTTGTATGTTCCAACGGCAACTCTTACTTGCAACGCCTCTGTGTATTCGGCATATCTTTTACACATTTCCCTTAAAACGTGCGGTGGAGCATGCAAGGTGTTATAAGGTAGTAAGTTTCTGGCTTTATCAGCTAGTTCTGTAGATAATGTAGATCCGAGTAAGAAAATGTCTATTGCTTCTTGTTTGGAATTATCCAGAAGGTTGTTTTGAATTGTTCTTGCAGCTGATCTTGCACCATCCATGATCTTAAAAAAATAAATAATTCAGCTTAAATCAAGGCTAAAATATCACAGATACAATTTAATTTGACAGTGTGCATATTGTGAATATTCAGGAATTCACCTATATTGTGTGTTTTAAATAAACAACGATCTTAAGTGCATTCTGACACTTGTTCAGTTAAGTGGTTTCCTATATAAAAGCGCGTAGTTTGTAAGTTGCAGTCAGTTTGAATTAGAATTTTTGTTTAAAATTAAGTTAGAGCTGGAACACGACAGAGATTTTGTTAAGTCAACAAGTTGTTGTGGTTGAAGAGATAATATACTTAAGGGAGTTTGCGTGGACTATGTGAAAATATTAACAAAAGGTTCAACCTTGACGATTTTCAGTTAATTTTTCTTTGGTTCTAGTTCTTCCTGATGAAAATTGTCTCCGTATTTCAGACCTTACATAGTCAAGGCAAGGCAAAATTTAAAAATACATATTTTAGTTCAAATGTATGCATCAGAATTCTACTTGTAAGCCGTCGGATTTAACCTGATCGCAGAACAAATCAAAAAGAAGCTTTCTACTGTAAATACATACCTACATTAATATTAAGTGTAAAGAAATTTTTAACTTTCCAAGGATAATATTTTCCACTAAGTTTTGTTTTAAAATAAGTTACAGTTTTATAGATACAAAAAAATTTAGTAGAGAAAATATGTTCAATTCACCAGTTTCAATGGATGTGTTAAAATCGTCAATAATTATTGTGGAATATATTTGAAAAAAAAAATCGAAAATACTACCATTAATAAAAACAGAGAAATTAAATTTATCCGATCTCTCACTCTCAAAGGGGATTTCAGTGAGACACTTAATTCTGAGCCTGATTTACTAACAAATTCAAATCACAGCAACTCTTTATTATCCATAAACAAATGAATTTTGGTATGGGACATCTTCATGTCGCGAATGTTGGAAAAATTCTCTGAGTTGAAAAGTTTCTTCCGGTATATTCGAATGCAAATACATGATGTCAATACTTACTTTTGATCCGCCTTGAATAGCACCAGTTCCGGCATAAATTTTACTTATTTCATTTCCATTATTAATCCACATCTGCCTAAATACTTCCTCAAATCTAGATATCGTATTTTTCTTGTCGACCATTTGCATTGATTGGAGCTGTTTTGTCAATAACTGAGAAAAAAAATAATTTTACACTAGTCCTAATCAACAGAGTGAGCAGAGCTGAGTATAGTACCAGACTGATAAAGACAGATTTTAGTTATAATGTTAAAATAGGCTCCAAATTGCTTGTGCACTTAGCACATTTTTAGAATATGTTGCCTAAAGTATCTAGTTTATGATGCACTCGATGATGCACTATTGTTTTTGATAATTTTTTGGGTTTAAAAGAGCGATTTGGGATAAATAACTCAGGTTGTACTTGTTGAATGGTAAATTACTGCCCAGCTCTGATAGAAAGTGATTGATCATACCTCCAAACCAAAGAATGTTTGAACACAATTCGTCCTATCCAAACAATCAAGACAATTTGTCCTAATTGTGCCAGTTTGTAGACTATAAATAGCATTACCATCTGCATGATAAAAGGAAAATTCTTGCAGTTGTTGGTCAACTTTGGCTCTTAATTTTTGGAGATTGGTTTGATTACTTCCTCGGACTTCTTGGTGATAATCAAATACTATATGGGGTATATCATTATGGGTTGATTCTTTATGATGTTTTTGAAATTCTTGGCTTAGAGTAGCTTCTCCTTCTTTGCTACCAATCAAGCTAGTGCCTAATAAATTAACAATAACTTGTTTTCCATAACGCTCTTTAATCATTGTGATATGTCTATCAAACGCAGCTTTTGATGCTTCATATCCTCTAGAAATTCTAACTTTGTGAGAACCGACCTAGGAGCAAATTGAAACATCCATATTAAAATAGTGCTGCAAATTGTTTATATGCCTTACTTGAACTCCTGGCTGTTCCCAAAAAAGTGGTACAGAGCCACGTGTTTGGATATAAGAAGAAACCTCATCATCTAAATAAATTACTTGTTCAGTTTCTACAAAATTGGCTACATGTCCTTCATCATTAGTACCTCTAACATTGAACCTTAAAAGGAATAGAGCATGTATTTTTTTTTTTTCAAATATTGATTTGACTCTTACTTAATAGAGATGGATAATTAAACCATTCAATAATTTGAATAAAAAATATTGACTACAATTATGATTATTATTTGGTACGTTTACATTTTAAAAAACAACATCACTCAACTTAGAGAAAGAAACAACATAAAAGCCCTTAAAAGGCCATTAAGCAAATAATATCTTAAAATAAGGTCCTGTTTTGAAATTTGTTAAAATTGGGGTTTCACTTCGCTCCATACTTTCCAATTTTCTCCTCTTATAAATGGGTAGTTTTAACCCTTGAGGGGTGTACAGTGTGTTTCGGAATAATTTCTGGGTAAGTTTATAAGTTTAAATCTATGTACACAAATATTTAGTGATATATATTTTTTTTTGTATATTTTTTTATACAGTGTGCGCCATAAAGTTGGGTACATACGGGAAAATTCTTAAGTATTCCTTTTTTCAAAAAACTTTTTTTAGGGATCGTTAGGGCATGTTCGATAACCAAAAAGTCGATTATGACACATGTCATGCGATTATCGGTTTAACAGGAATTTTGAAAAAAGTTGATATTGATGTCGTAAAATGGGTACATTTGGCAAGATATCAAAAAATTTTATAAGAAAAAGTTCTTCAGAATCCAAAAAGAACTTTACATGCCGATTTTGAAGCAAATCAGAGAAAAAAAAATAAAACTACTTAATTTACCCATACCATTAAATGGAAAATCGAAAATATTAATTTTATTTCAAAAATAGCTTAATTCAACTAAACTACATAAGTTTGATATCAAACGAATCGATTGTTTTGCGAAATACACACTTGAAGGTTATAAATTAGAAAAAACCGTCCGTGTCGCTATAACTATAACTGTACCCATGTCTCTTTTTGCATATTTCTTGGTCATCAGAAAAATAACATGACATGTGTCATAATCGATTTTTTGGTTATCGAACATGCCCTAACGATCCCCATAAAAAGTTTTTCGAAAAAGGAATAATTAAGAATTTTCCCATAGGTACCCAACTTTATGGCGCACACTGTATATTTTAAGTTACAAACGTCAAACTCTAAATTCTCCTTTGTAATTGTTTCAGCTGATGATGAAACATGTCCTAAAGTTCATTTCGCGAGACGAGATAGTGACAGTAAACAAACTTTGACAGGTAAGTCGAATTTTATTGGCTAAAAAAGGATTATACTCCGCCCTAGACAGGACCGTCTTAGGTTGTTTTGTATTTGTATTCTCTGAATATCTTTATTTTTGGTCTTCAGCCGAATCTGTTGAACTTGACATCGATTTAATCTAAATTGCTCACTAATTAACAATAATTCACCAAACACTATTTAAATAATTGTAAAATACTAGGAAATTCGACACCAAAACCTATTGACTCATATGACAACCTGACAATAATAAATGTCATTGGTTGTAATTCATATTTTTGCAGTCCTTCTCTGAATTTTTAAGCTCCGCCTGTTTGTTTACTTCTATTATCTGGTTTCGTGGAATGAAGTTTAGTAGTTTTCCAACAAAGAAACAAATAAGAATTAGTGGAGAAGACTAAAGTTTTCTTTTTGTAATTTACAAAGCTCCACTGCAAGAAAAAGGACTATTTTTCAATTTTTCATATATTGTTTGTCATCGTTCTGGGAGATTTTTATTTGAAATACTTATTAGTATTTTCAATTTAGATATTATAGTTTTGATATTACAATTGCCCTACATTAAGTCAAATGTAACTCAAACATTGGCAGTGTTGTTCCCCAAATATAAAATAAAATCTATCCTCAAGCCTTTGAAAAAAAAAATGTAATTGCATCTTATATGATGATCTTACCTTGTTCCTGTCCTCTCGCAGCTCAACCTTGAAATAACAGCTGCTAAAGCCTTTTTAGAACCTACATAAACTGTTCTAATTTCTACTGAACCACACATTGTCCTTAGCAACCAACTGTTGCATTCCACTCCGAATCGGACTAAGTGAATATGCAAAGTACGGTTCCTGAAAAAAAAAACCTTTTATTGACAATAAATTAATACTTCACGATTTTTTAATAAATGATCAGAGTACCATGCGTAAGTCAGCTTGGCATAGTTTATACGAAGTCAATTCGAATAGCATAAAAACTGTTTAGGCAGCATCTTCTTATGAAATTGAGCATATGCGTGCAACAGCATAATAATTAGAATTAGAATTCTTTGTTCTTGGGAATTCCTAGGCTGTTGCGTGCATGCATATGCTTAATTTCATAAGAAGATGCCGCCTACACAGTTTTTATGCTATTCGGATTGACTTTGTATAAACTATACGGAAGATAGTAATGAATTTTTATAGGAGTGACTGAGAGGGTGGCTACCTGCCACTTGTGGGAGTCACCTCGATTACCTTACAGGGTTAGGAGGGTTAAGAGTTAAGGGAAGCTTTGCCTTTCGTGAGGTGAGCCAGGTTTAGGTAAGGAATGCTATGAATGTTTTGAACAACAAATCCAGCAAAAAGCTTTCAACATGAAACTGGCCCTAATTAAGTATCTGGAAAAGTAACCACCACTAATTAGATTAATTCATTCTGGTATAGTTCAAATTCAAATTTCAAATTCAAATAAGCTTTATTGTCCTAATTTTTTCAAAAGATCATTGACAAAGCAAAACTTAATTCTAAACATTTTTTTTTCATACCTATTACTAACTAATCTATGTCAACACTAAATAATTTCGTCTATAAAAATACAAATATAAAATTTGAAACACAGAAAAACAGTATAAAAATTACGAGCATGTAAAATCAACATTAAGATAAAATCAAAAACATTCACAAGATTATCCGACAAACAAACGAAGTTAGGGATGGGTAACGGTAAGTTGTTATGGTAACTTCGCAAATTATGAGACTCAGTTCTGTTAAAACCTTGAAATTTTTTATGTACCTATAAGGCAAGCTATTTCCATTATAAAAATTGATGGAACCGTCAAAATTTCTTCCCGTAGAAAGAGTGGAACTAACTCCGCACAAAGTTCTAAGGGCTCTTTTTTGTAAAATAAACACTGATTGAACAGAGGCTTGGGTTGAGAATCCCCAGAAGGGTATTCCATATCTGATATGAGATTCCATCAAAGCATGATAAGCTACTTTAGCTATATCTTTGCCCAACTCGTGTAATATATTTTTTATCAAATAGCAGCCTTGTGATAATTTCTTATTAAGTAAATCAATGTGGGTTTCAAATTTAAGCTTAGAGTCCATGTGAAGACCAAGGAATTTAACAGTCGACTTTTCTTCCAGAGATTTATCATTTAGGGTAATGGTATCTAGTGAGCATTTAAATGATAGAATATTTGTTTTTGAAACATTAAATACAAGAGAGTTTGTGTCACACCATTCCTTTATTAAAACTAGATCTTTTTCTATGATATTAGACATTTGGTTATATTCTCTCATGATCTTTTGATGGCTTTAGTTGATCATTCTACTTTGCAATTATTACAATCTGACCTGAATGGTATGTTAACTGAATGAAATTAAATATAGAGAAATTCCAATATGTAGAGTTCAGCAGGTCAAGAAACAAAGTAGTAAACAATTACCACATAAAAGTGTGCAGAAATAAGGCCATGAAAATGTTTCAATTAGGAGGAATGCAGCAGGTTTCATTCACAGCCATACAAACGCTTTATGCATCTCTAGTGCGGGCGCAGCTTGAAAATGTTTCTACTGTTTCATTCCCATGTTTTGTTACATATCACTTTCTGCTACACAAAGTTTCTCAGATAGGTATGCTGCATTTAGGTTAAACATACCGGTAGATAAAACATCAACTTGAGAGTTTCCTCAGAATTAGATCTCTCAAAAGAAGAAGAGATTCAGCTGCTGTTATGATTATTATCAAGAATAGACCTTTTTGCTTCTACTAGACCTCTGAGAGAACATAGATCCTTTGAACGGTGTCAGCATAGAACGCTCTATGCTCACAACAGTGGATTGAAAGGGGTAATCAAAGCCTTTAATAATTGTGAATTGAATTTATTTAAGTAATATGTTATTGTACAGATTGAAAACGTTCCTTAAAAGTGCATAGCAATAGTGATGTTGTTTGTTAAATAATTTGTGACTCCTATGTTATGTTTCATGTTATTGTTTTATTCGAGGTTATATTTTATTGTTCACCTCTTATTATTTTAATTATTTCTTAGTTTCATTTTTAATTTTATAAACTACCTACTTTCTTTATGCATAGTTGGTTAAATTTTGATTCAGTTTCAGTTTTAGTTTAAGTTATAGGGTCTGTTGATTCTGTAACTGATTAGGCTATCCCCCAATATTTGAAATAAATAAATTCCTTGAATTATGACAATGGAAGGAAAAAACATTAGAAGACGTAAGGCAAGCTTCAGATTATTGCAAAATTTCGATGATAAAATTAGTTAGACTCGCTTCTTGTTTCACTTAAAGGTAGAAGAAGAAAATATATGGTGGAAAAATTGTAGGTACCTTTGGCAGAATAACAATGTTGTAGTTATTTTATTTCCCTGGTCAGTTTCATATTACCTTATGATATGTATAAAGACACGTTTTTAAGTAAAATAAATGGGCTAATGTGTGTCTCTGACTACCCAACCTATGTTACATGGAAAAAATAGTAGTGGACACATGCTTATCGGACGCATGTTTCCTCCAGAAGTCACCTGAACCTACCCATGACGTTAACTTCTTAGCAATTTGTTTGTAAATATTATAGGTAGTTGTTCACAAAAATTGGGACAATAAATGAGTAAATAAGTATATATACTTAAATAATAAACATACCAAAAAAATCTATGATCTGTCGTTGAAGTTTTTGCTCTTCTCTGAGCACATAATGTAAGGTCCAATGGCATTCCACCTACAGCCCCTGAATACCATGAAAAATAGAAAGTTCCAGAATTTAATAATTTTCGTACCTGAAAATTTTGAAACAAATTTGCAAACCTAAAAAAAGTTGGGTAATTAAGTAACAGTTACCTCAGAAATTTTGTCTTCATTTTGTGGATGATGCAGTGGTATAAATTGTGTCTGAGTGATTCTGAAGATTTCTGAATCGCCTATTTTACCAATAGAAAAGCAGCCTGTTACCATGACCAGGTATAACAGAGTTGAATCGCCTGAATCTAGTTGAAGAACTCCCAGGCATCCATATGCATCTAATATTTTGGTGTATTGTTTCTTCACTGCTTCCGTTTCTTGTACAGCTACAAAATGTTTTCAAGTAAAAATTTTCGGATAATCTAGAAAAACTAATGAGAGAGGCATCGGAAAAACACATGAGAAAAATATATTTGTCTATAGATTGAAGTCGAGCATGAAGTCTTCTATAAATAATTGTGTAATATATTTATTACTTACAAAGGACTGCTACCGCTTGTGATTCGAATAGCAAAGTGTTTTCTTTTGCTTTATGTTCTAACAGGACACTATGTGGACTTGGAGGGACACTCTTCTCAAGAACTCGAAACGCTTTGTACATAGCCATAATGGGAAATTTATGAAGGATTGAATGAAATAAATAACAGAATATCTTTTGCAGAAGTATTAGCCCCCTAATAAATTATTTCCATTTATTACTTATTTCCCATTTGAGAAAAACATTGCACATACACCATCACACCATCATACAAATACACCCCCAATGGCCCCAATGACCAATAGGGTCCAATAACAAATTAGGCAATAGCAATAGGCATACCAAAACCCATAAAAAAAAATGACGTTTGACATTTTATTGTTTGTATGGGCGTTTTTAACATTTTACCGGTGGATCCACCGACTTCGACCAGTTTCAAGAAACACCGGTTACCGAAATGTAGTGTTTCTACTCAAAATCATAAATATACATTTTTCCAACATTCACCTCCGCAGCTTATAATTAAAATTCAATGCACAAAACACGACAAAACAAAAAACGAGGGCTATCCAAAAAAACCGGTAGATTCAACCATGCACCAGCACCACACGCTACACTTTCATCAACCGAAACTTTTGTCAGCTACCGGTTGTTGTACGTGAATTCTGAATCATGCCCTATTTATGTACTGACTGAGCCAGGATATATACACCACTACAGGATTGCTTATCGGCTTTCTAGTGACGAATTTTAAGTTGCTTCGCACTCTGGTGCTCAAAACGACTGTTGCTTCACTGGAACGAACCCTACTTTGAGCTTCGTGTTTTTGATGCACCCATAAAATTGCAGGTGCTTGAGAGGGCAGGGGAGAGGAAAAACGAATAGTTCGATTGCCCGAAACTCTCATGCAATGGAACGCTTATAAACAGCCCGGGCCGCTATAGAGTAGCTCAAGAGTGCTTAAAGTGCGTCACTGGAAAACGACTCTGGTGTAGCACCATTGTCGACGTCACGAATTAAGTCGTCGGCAGTTTGTGCCAGCGGTTGTAGTTCACAATTTAAATTTATGATGAAAAATATTATTTAATTTTGATTAACATATTAGGCAAAGAGAAAGCTGCAAACGAGATCTAAAAAAGAGTTGTTTTAGAATGATATTTAATGTATTAAAACCAAGAATGCATAAAGCAAAAGCCCTGCGGTGCAAACACCCTACGTCAAGGCAAGAAACGATACGCTACCTACCTACGTCATCACTGGTGCTTTGGCATGGTGGGAGGCTTCAGATTTGAACTACACAGGCCTTATGAGGATAAGCTATCCTGTAGTAGTATTGTGAATTATGGCCGTTTGCACCGACCATTTTTAGGGGGGTTCAACGATAATCCACGCTTAAAGTGACGATTTTACATGTAATTGTCTACAGAATTGTTCCGCGAACAGAGAGTTGTACCTGATGGAGCAAATACCTCTCGGAGCACTCCCGCAGAAATCTGTGACGTCACCGCCTGGACGGGGAGCGCTCTGCGAGCATTTCACTTTTATATGAAAGCTCACGTGACCTTCCGTCAATAGTGCCATCTGTTAAGTCGCGGAGGATTAACCGAAATCGCCTAAAGAGGAGAACAGAGTCGCTTTCCAGTGACGCACTTCAAGCACTCCTGAGCTGCTCTAGAGCGCCCCGGACTGTTTTTGAGCGTTCCAGTGCATTACAGTTTCGCGCAAGTGAACTGTTCGCTTTTCCTCTCCCCTGCCCTCTCAAGCACCTGCAGTTTTATGGGTGCATCAAAAACACGACGCTCAGGCCCAGCGCAAAATGGCACGCAGCTTGGTGACGTGAGTAACGGCGAGTTTTTGTGAACCTTACACAGAATTTTCGCGATGAACTACTTCCATGATTTCATGAATACAAACGCTTTCGCGAAAAACTCATCACGTCCTATTGAACGTAGTTTGACAAAAGCATGGATGCAGCTTCTAGCCAGCGTTCAAACTCATGGCGTCACCGACGAACTATGGTTCGTCCTTGGATGAACTACATTCGTCGCGAAAATTTGGTTTAAGTATGAATAGTTAATGCGACTCGCAGCGTGACGTGCCGCAGTTTTGGTCCTGCGGAACGCAGTGTACTTGCCGCGGATTTTCTCGTAGTCACGGTGCGTGTTTTGAAAATGGAAGAAAAATTAATTGAGGCCGTGCGGATTCGACAAGTTTTGTACGATAAAAATCATAGAGACTATATGCGAACAATCAATAAATCAGTTCAGCAGTAGCTACCATTTTTTTCTGCACTGTGGTCTGCCTCAAAGTGAAAACTGCCATTGTATTTGCGCGGTTACCCGCGCTAGCAGTTCTCTCCCCGCAGAAACTCGTCGTGACTCGCGCTGCCTCGCGTCACCAAGCTGCGTCTCATTTTGCGCCGGGTTTTAAAGTAGGGTGCGTTTCAGTGAACGACAGTTGTTTGGTGCACCAGAGTGTGGAGCACCTTAAAATTCGTCACTGGAAAGCGGCTAAGGAAAAGCGCTTTCGACTTTAGAATAAAAACTGCATCCGATTGATCAAAAAGCGATCCGAAACGGATTCACATGTTGGGCTTGAAACGGAGCGTTGCTCTCGGCGAGATTCATACGACTTGAGCAATAGATCGCTCTCAAATTTCGCATGGAGCACTCATCCGTTCTCCGACAAATTCGATGGATCTAAGTGGTAGATCAAAACAAAGTACGTTCGGTTATGATATTCAAATTCGTGCCCTCGTTTGGATTATCCATGCGTTCGGTATTTTGATCTGAGTTCTCCGAGCTTGAATTTACCGTTCGTTTATTTGAAAAACGGTGCAGGCTCATTCGCGTTCTTTATTGAAATTTCTGGCACTCTGCTACAGCGTTCTGCCTGTTCGCTAGCTGGTCGGGGATTCTAAAATCACGATTCGACATACGATTCGACAACGAGACGATTTTTCCGACGATTCTAGGTTAGAAATCTCATTGGAATTATACCTTTCGACACGACAAGGCCGGTATCGTTGTCGAGTCGTGTGTCGAATCGTGATTTTAGAATCTCGGCCCTGGTCACATGATTACGGCTTCGCTCAGCTCTTTGAGCAAAATAACGAACCCAAGAACCCTTTTCACGTGGCTCCGGTTTAACAAACCGCAACATACCGCTCAAATTCGAGTGGTAGGTATCCATCACGTCACTTTGTAACCGGGTGACAAAACGGTATGTCATTTCTCTAACCGTTTTGAAACCCGGTTAGTTTAAACCAGAGCCACGTGAAAAGAACTAAGGTATAATCGCTCTTGGAGCACTCCCGCGGAGAACTGTGACGTCACCGTCCAGACCGGGAGCTGGGGCAGCAGTAAAGCTGAAAATGTTATAAGCGAATTTTTTTAGACATCAATAGGGATGATGAAGGATGGTAGTTCTTACAAAAACAAAAATTATGGTAGAAACACGTTTTGATAAAACAGAACATCTAGGCTTCTTACTTTTACCAATAATTAATGGGCGTTTCTAGGCCACATCCATCACGACGCACCGCACCTCGTACCGCACTTAACATTGCACCATAGTATCGCCTCTGCCCTCTGCCTCGCACAAAGCATTGCCTTCGTGAGTCCGTTTTGGCGCACTGCACCTAGCATTTCACATCAGTTTGAATAGTTGATTTTTAACTTCAGTCAGCATTAGCAAAGATGAGTTCTTCTTTGTTGGATGAAGATGATACCTTGTTTCACTCTAGTTTTAGAAAGTGACATTTTATCAAAAATTGAAGAAGGAAGACGATACATCCTTTAAATAAAAAGCGAAGTCAGTTCGGTGTGAATTCCATCACCTTTTCAATGATCATGGTGACTTTTGCTTCTGTTGTCCCATATCGCGTCTCTGATAAATATACCTGTAATTAATTTTTCCTTATCCATCATACTATACATAATGTGCGATATGCGAGTCTTTGGAAAATACTTAGCTTGATTTCGGAGTGCGATACTCTGGTGTCAGGCTTGCTAAGTGAGGGGCGGTGCGCTGTTGTTGGCAAGCCCATCTAACTTTATAATAACATTCGCTTCACACACAGATGCTATGGTACAATCTTAGTGCTGTGCGTCGTTATGGCCGCCCACTTATTCTTTTTTCGCAGATTTTCCTTCTGCACACCAATCATTTCTCAACGTATTTTTTTTTTGTGGGAAGCGCACGGCGAGTTTCATCAGCATAATCCTTAAATATTGATTACAATATCAACATTTTCCAAGTTTACGCTTATATATATTTTTTAACATTTCACCAGTAACTTAGCTCATTAAAAATATTATAAAAAAAGTTTGAACACCTTTGTCTCAGCCACTTGAGAGGAGATTTGCAGAGAATACAAGAAACAAAAAGGTAAAAAATGTGACAAAACAATTTTTACTCAAACTATACAAGTATAATATATCAGCACAATAAATCTTGCGTAACTATTGCTATGATGATGATACAGTCACGCAAAAAAAAAATCAATTATAGGAAAGTTTTCCAATTTTTTGCTACATTGTTGAAAATTAAAACAAGCATAAGTAAAGTTACAGGGGCGTTAAGCGCTATCACGTCCAACTCTTCATTAGATCCAATGCCTCAGTATCAGGCCATTTTATTAGAGATCGCGGCATGTAAAGTTGTTAACTGGTTGGCCCATTTATCTAACGCGTTATACCTAAAACAATGGTTGGCAGGATTAGCTCAATTTTATTATAGCTTAGAGGATTTATGTACTGAATTATGAACGTTTTTTTCAACTTTCTGAAAGTAAGCATGTCTTCAGTAGTATTTCTAAAATAAGTTGATCAACTTTAATTCCAAATAGATGAGGATGGCTTTACCTAAATGAGAAAATTTTTTGATTCATCATTTTTTGAAACTTTTTTGTTGCTAACAAACAAATTTTTTTCACATCACATCATTTGAAAACGGAGCAATTCTAAAGCTGGATTTATAGCTTCCGTAACGTAGGCAGTAAGCAGTAAGAAGTAAGGACGTATGCCGTAAGGTAGGTGGTAGACGCTTTTTACTCATTGGGCGTCGACCGGTGAGATACCACCATGCCAGAATTGAGTAGCGCTAAGTGGTATCACCACGTTCCGCTACTGCGCTGGCAGTCCGGTTCCAACAATGAGTAACAGATAGCATGATGGCGCCTCCAAGATCAAAATATTCCGGAGGTAAAATACCCGACCACTCGGATCTCCGGGCGTCGGGTGATCCTGGGGGTCCTTCATGCAAAAATATAAAGAGAAGATCGAAAACTCAACTCAGAATTGATTTTAGCAATATAAGAGGAATAAGTACAAATATGAATTCAGTTCACCAACATCTTGAAGAACAAAGACCTGACATCCTTGTTCTCACTGAAACTAAAATCAGTTCTGCAACACCTATTGTGAACTATCTTTATCCCGGCTATGACCTACACCACCGATTTCGACATAATTTTGGGATCTGTGTGTACATTAAAAATGACCTTTCATGTCATCGAGAGGAGAAGCTAGAACCAGCGAACCTTGATATCATATGGCTAAAATTCACCTCAAAGTCATCGACCAAGTTTATCTGCTGCCTCTACCGACCGCCATCTAACACCGAGTACTAAAACTTTTTCGCGACATTATCCGAAAGCTGTGATAGTATACAGTCAAACTATCCACAGGCGGAAATTGTCTTTTTAGGCGATTTCAACGTCCACAATATACCCTGGCTGAAACACCACAACAAAACAGATAACGAAGGCAGAGAAGCAGAAGCTTTTGCCATAAGTTGTGGTCTAACGCAGCTTGTCGATGAACCTACCCGTATCTCAGAAAGGGGCGAATTTGCTGCGCTTTTAGACTTGTTCCTAACCACAAATCCTGACTCGTACACAATTCAAGTAGATGCTCCACTTGGTTCGTCCGATCATAAACTTATAATAACAAAGTGCGAAATGCTCATCCCACCAAGCCAACAACCACTTCCTCGTAAAATGTGGCACTATAAATCGGCAAAATGGAATGACCTAAAACAGTTTTACCTGGATTTTCCATGGCAAGAGGTTTGCTTTAAAACAGCTGATCCCACTATTTGCTGTAATGAAATAACACAAGTAATCTTATCTGGAATGGATGCATATATCCCACATACAACTAAACGTAGAGCTAATGCAAAACCTTGGTTCAACAGCCAGTGTCAAACGGCTGTACAGAAAAAACACAGAGCATATAACCTTTGGAAACGACAACAAACCGCTCAAAACCACACAGAATTTATAGAAGCCAGAAATAATTGCAAAATTACTATTGACTCCGCTAAAGAAACATACAATCAAAGAATAAAAAACAGGTTGCTGAATTGTCCAAGTAGTTCTAGGTCCTTTTGGTCTCTTGCAAAAGCTGTTGGATCTAACTTCACCAAGTCATCCATACCACCACTTACAGATAAAAATAATCACTTATCCACAACATCAGAGGAAAAAGCCAATATGCTGGCCCAAATGTTTTCCTCAAACTCCAACCTAACAGTGCCAAACGGAAAAACTCCACCGTTCATTGAAAGGGTTTCCCATAGTATGCCAGAGGTACCCTTTTGTCACAGAGAAATACGAAAATCCCTTCAAAAGCTAGATACAAACAAAGCAATGGGTCCGGATGGCATTCCCGCAATAGTACTCAAAAATTGCGCCAACGAACTCACCCCAACTTTCGCAAAATTATTCAATTTGTCTTACAGGCAAGGGGTATATCCATCATCATGGAAGTCTGCCGCAGTACAACCCATTCCAAAGAAAGGAAAAAAGACAGATCCGTTAAACTATAGACCAATTGCTCTACTTCCGGTGATATCAAAAGTAATGGAAAGAGTTGTGAACAATCACCTAACAAAGTACTTGGAAAAGTACAAAATTATCAACGATAAGCAATACGGATTTCGAAAATATAGGTCAACTGGCGATTTACTTACATACGTCACTCACTTATGGCAAAAAGCGATTGAGTTGCGGGGTGAAACAAGAACAATTGCCTTAGATATATCTAAAGCATTCGACAAAGTTTGGCATGAAAATCTGCTCAACAAGCTCAAAGCAATGGGATTATCGCCGAAACTTTGCACTTGGTTTGAAAGTTACCTAAAGGACAGATCCATTTATGTTGCACTGGATGGCCAGAACTCCAACTCTTACCAAATAAATGCTGGTGTGCCACAGGGAGCAATCCTTTCGCCAACTCTTTTTCTGATTTACATAAATGACCTCATAGATAAAACAGTAAATCCACTTTATTGCTTTGCAGACGATGGCAATGTAGTCTCCTCACTCATACCACCCACAGGTCTTTCCGCACGTGAATTCCATCATCTTAGACTAACTCAAATATCGCAGATAAATAACGACCTGGAGATAATAGAGGACTGGGGTAACAAAAACCTTGTACAGTTCAACGCACAGAAAACCCAAGCAGCTCTGTTTTCAAAAAAGAACAGCACCGGTGAGCCAAACATCATGCTATCTGGAAGTGCTGTCACATTACAGAGTCAGTTGAACATCTTGGGGGTTACTGCAGAGACCAACATGTCTTGGCACAATCACGTGGCAGATATTGCTAAAAGGGCATCCCAAAAGCTGGGGGTGCTATTTCGTACAAGACATCTGTACACACCAAGTCAATTGCTGACACTCTACAAAGCCCAGATTCGACCAACTATGGAGTACTGCTCACATATATGGAGTGCAGCACCCAAACATACCTTAATGCTTTTGAACACCGTGCAAAAACGAGCTATCAAGCTGATCAATGACCCCGCACTTACTCGTAACTTGGATGGTCTCGAACATCGCAGATCTGTGGGCGATTTATCTCTCTTCTACAGGTACTATCACGGAAAATGCTCTGAAGAGTTGGCACGTATGATTCCACCGAGAGTAGCGCCTACCAGGCGAACCCGTCAAACAGACGGTAACCATGAATTTACTGTCAAACTAGAGGCACCAAGAACCTCATTATATCAGAATTCATATCTCTGGAGAACAGCATCGCTGTGGAATAAACTCCCTGCGACGGTTTTCCCTGCAGGTTACAACCTGAACCGTTTCAAGACCAACATACACCGACATTTCCGCGCACTTGCCGCTTCTCGAGCGTGATAGGACATTTCCTTGCGAGTGCGCATATCCGTAAAAAAAAAAAAAAAAAAAAAAAAGAAGTATCAGTAAAAACATCTTGATTTATAGCTGAATTTGCTGTGACAGTAAAAACTTACGCGTGCGCAATATGATTTTATTTGAACCAATAGAAAAGGATAATGCTGGATAATATCTATTAATAGGCTTTCAATTTCACTCATTTTTAACCCAAAACTAATATTGAGCTCAATCACCAATGCCCAAAACAATTCCAGAACATCACTTTTTAAAACCAAAACAAAAACAACGCCAGCGGTCATTGCCCTCTGGGGGAGTGACAAGCGTTACTTTTTAACACGAGAACCGACGATTGCGTCCGAATCCGTATCAGTAACCGTAAGAAATAAAAATGAACCATTTCATACTGCTTACGGCTTACTGCATACTTGTTACTGAAAGACTATAACCAGGAGCATGTATTTGCTATAAGTTCATTTTTATTACGTCTTACGGATACTGCTTACTGCTTACGTTACGGAAGTTATAAATCCAGCTTAACATCTAATCCTCTGGTATATTGCACCTAATAAATATATTCTTTGAGGGTGGGTGATTGAGGAACAGGATAGACAAATATTTTTACGAGTTGTAACAAAAAATTACACTACAACTACAAAAGGTAAAGTTCAGTAGGTACTTCCACTTCACCTATAGTAGAACCCTCGGTAGAACCTTAGAACAATTAGGAGAGAAAGGAACTGTAATATAATATAATGTTAACGGATTTATACAATTAAAAACCAAAGTATTTATAGAAAACAGGGAAAAGCTGGAAAAGTTGATTGAAAGTAATTTCATTATATTTTATCCATTATCGCGCGCAGTGAACAGGTGCATTTTTCCTATCAAAATGTTCCATAATTATCATTCAATTTTTATAATATAAGAGAATCCTTGAAATATATTTTCATGCCTGTTTGTCGCATGAAAAAGTTTAGGTGTATTCAGTCTGTCATAACGAAAAATAAATAAGGGCATAAACTCTCTAAGTAGAAAAATTATTAATATCCACCTACCTAGCTGTATTTATAGTTGTTCTATCCAAGAAGAGGACCTGATTGACTTGATCAATGCGTCCTTGCACAGTTCTGAAAAATAAAAGCACTTACGTTTGTTCAATTTGCTTACACAGTAATTTGGACACTTACTCATCTAAAATACAAGCAACAAGTAAACTTTCTACTTCTTGAACATCAATATTTAACTCATTTGATATGAAAGGAATTTGTATTCTTGTGTATGGCTTTATGAGTTTAATTAGTACTTGGGTTCTAATATTTCTTAATAGATCTAAAAAATATATTATATAAAATACGAATAGCTCTGGAGAAATATTGAGTTACCTTCAATATGTTCTCTTATGAAAGGATCATCCATGATATTTTGTCTATTTTGCTTTAAAATTTGTTCAAACTCGTTTATATCATTATTTTGGTATGCTGTCACTAAATTTGTCATAGCTAGAATTTCGGGATCATTTTTGTATGGTTTGGCTTCTTGAGAATCGAAAGGATTTATTCCAGACTTCATTAACCTAAATTAATTTGAGTTTTGTTGAAAAATATATTCTAATATTTGAAAATATAGAATGAACTTTGAAGAAAAAGTGTACCTCTCTCGATGAAGTCTGTGCATTTTTTCCAAATACTTTAAAAACAATATAAGAACATAATTGAGTCTGTCCTATTCTTTGGTATAAGCACTATTCAATATTTATATATAAGAATATAAAATATATGTATAAATTTAATTTTTTGCACATGGGTCAGAATAAAACCCTCCCTTTATCCAATCTAACAACCTAAGTATAACAGATCGACAAGGCATTCATTCATGAAATAAGCTTTACTTTGTTGTGTTTCAACATAGTTAGAGGCAAAAGGAGGAGAGCTGAGTGGTAACAGATGTAAAGGTAATACTGATAGCAAACAAGACACGGTGATATTGTCACAACAAAATCTTGTTCAAGGCTGTGTCTGTGTGGGATAATAGGACACTGATTCAACAATATTATTTTTTGCACCTAAGACTAGAATACAGCACTTAGCAACATTTTGCTATATTATTAGTACTGACCGTCAATGGGACGATCAAAAATTGGTTCGTTGGGAAAACCCAAATAAGAAGAACAAGTTTCTGCTGTATACGAATGTGAAAATCAATGACATTTCACTAATGGACTGGCCCTGGCCATATTCTCGAACAGCGTTTGTTTGCAGCCAACATTAGTAAGAGAGGTCCGAGAGAGATGGAGCTATTGGTGGCCAAAAAAAAACTGATATTTTTATCTAAGAGCAGTTAATACGTAACATCTTTTATACTCCATACTGTTGTCTATTGGCGTAGGTTGCCATTCTGCCATCTAATTTTGCAATTAAATGCAGCACAGGGTGGAACGAAATTGATATTTTCTTGGCCTTTTACTCAAATATAACAAAATAGTCAGATCCGGGAGTGATATTGAAAAAAAAAAAAGGAAATTAAACCGACCGGAGTAAATAAACGTTGACAACTACCTTGACACAAGCAACAATCATGTCAAATTCCGTTGTCATGCCACCATTAGCTCTATACTTCTCGCACTGCATTGGAGTCAATAAATTGCCGCCAAGGGCCGGTCCATAGTGAAATGTAATGTGATGTCATTGGTGGAAATGTGGGTTAATTTTCCTCTTTACATTACATTCTACTTACATATTAGCTAACACTAAATACTTGAGGCAAGTGGTCCTCCTTGGACTTCCAGATTCGTCATAATTTTTGAAAGCTTCGAAAAAGTCGGTATGTGCCTTTTCAAATTCTCCTTCTCTTAGGTGCATTTTACCGCCACATTCCCTGATCACGCCCATGATCAAAGGGTGAGGAATGGCTGATTTTATATGTAAAGACTGTTCATACAAGGTTTTTAATTTCTTGTTATTTTTTTGGGCGGTGTACATTTGAATTTCCAAAGCATAAATTTCCAATAACTGGGTGCCTTTTTTTAAATCATCTTCACCATCATCAGTTTGACATGATTGGTGTAATTGCTTAAGTATTTTACCTAACTTGTTGAAATCACCTCTATCATAGTAGAGTTTTCCCAATTTGGTGTTTGTTTTGAACCAAAGCCTGTCATTTTTTGCATCTTTAAGTGCTTCTAATGTTGTTTCATAAAAATTCTGCAATAACTCCATCTGTGAAACATATAAAATATAACTTGAAAAATATACATGGGTATGGGAAGTACAATTAAATTGATTTTTAATGGAATTAATTTAGCAAAATCTTTGTGCTCTATCTAATCTAATCAATCTTAATTACTCAACCGATTTTGACCAATAAATAATTTTATTTTAAAATCTTATTCATGTCACGGCAGCGCCAGTTTTACAAAGGATAATATCAGAAAAAAAACTTAAATTAGCAAGAATAAAAATAATTATAATACTATTGCTATAATAAGTCAATCTCATTAAAGTTTTGAAGAAACTTCAGCAGTTAATGAGTTTTTTTTTCAATTCTTAGATATTATCAGGAACAATTTATACGAAATTTTTACCTGACACCATATTACATTCTATATCTATGTAGATAACAGGCCGGGAGTCCACTTACGTTTCTTGAAGTTGAGATGTAATCCAATATGGAGTTGATAGACTTCTCACTATGATTTCTGGTAACAGCACTCTTGATGTATGTTAGAAGTTGTTTATAGCGTATCATCATCTCATCAAAATTAGACAAACGAAAATTTATCTTTATCATTTGTTTAAGAGCTTTAAAGCCCCATTCTCCCTTTTCTCCTCCCTCAAGATCTAGTACTTTTTGAAACGATGTTAAGGCTGCCAGTGGTTCTTCTTCTTTGAGTGCCTTACTGTTATAGTACTGATTTTCCAAATCAACATCTGGTTCTGAATTGCTATCTTCTGAATATTCCTGCAATTAAATGAAACATTATAATATCGATTCTAGTCTTGATCCAATTGTGCTAAATTCATTTATTAAAATCGAGATTAAAATTAACTGTTTTACTAGCTACGTAATTATTTTTTTACTCGTTTACATGATTGGGGACCACAACTATTAGCTATATTCTTGATACCTAATGAAAAGTACTTAATGAAAAAAATGTGAAGCAAAATATATAATATATGTACTTATGTAGTTATTTTATTTTTTGTCTGGGATACATAAATATGTGAAATAATATTATAAGTGATTGAGTTTATCTCAATAATTATTTTAATTTCCTTTTTTTTATTACTTTAACATCCCAAGACAATCCCAAACGTATCCTGAACGCTAAGGCATGCCCTACACAGGTTTACTAATAAATAGAGACATGAAACTTTCAAATATTACCTGCGTAAGTCATGCCTTAGCGTTCAGGACATCAGTATCATCAGCATATGAGACTACCATACCATTATCAAGTAGAATATCTGTTAGAAAATGTATATATCTATATTGAGAAAAGCAAGGGTCCTATTAGCCTCCCCGAGGTCTGCCCTGTGGTATGGGTATGCCAATTAAAATCTCTGAAGTATCACTGTAGATATTATTGATTCTGGTAATCTGTTTTGGACCTGTCAGATAGCTCCTTAAGACTTCTGACAACAACACCCTGGCACCATAAGAACATCGAGAAGTGAGTCATAGGGGATAGTGTCAAAGGCCTTTGCTAGGTCCAGAAAAGCTGCTAGACATTTTTTGCCCTTATCAAGATTATTTTGTGATAGTTCCTGTGACTTCAACTAGGACTTTAAGTATAGCATCAGAAGTGCTAATGCCACTGAGTAATCCGACTTGGACAGAATGTTATTAACCAATAGAAAATAAGAGAGTATTTCTTAGAGGCATTTATCAAATATTTTCGCAAAAATTATGATGACACTAATTGGACGAAAAAAATGTAATTTACTTCTTGTTTTGTAAATAGGCGGATCTAAATATGAGATTTATTATATTATGGAATGGATCAATGGACCAATCATATAGTTTTGGAATTGTTTTATAATTTCAGTTAGTATTTCATCATAATAAGTACCTAATAGGTAACACATCTAAATCGATAAGGACAATTTATAGAGCAACCTCCGAGCCTAAGAGTTAACCTGTAAGCAGTATTTATTTATTTATTTATTTATTTACGTATAAGAAAAATACATTTGAAGTTGAACAGAGTTTACATCTAAAAAAAAAAAAAAATCTAACCTAAAACAATTCTCCTGGCCTTCATCTTAAATTTATCCAGAGATAAACCAAAGAACTCAAGGCCCTCACAGAACTTATTTACATTGGCAGATATTCTATTCACAGGACTGAATAGTAGGTACCAGGTTCGACAGTAAGGAATGTGCAGTAAAGATTTACTTCGTGTCTGATAACTTTGAATGTGTAGATTAAAACATTCAAGACATTCGTGGCTTTTTATGTAGTAGTTAAGAATTTTAAATGCAAAACAGACATCAAAATATTCCCTTCTGCGAACAAGAGTAGATAAGTCTAAATAAGTCATAGTCAGGTCATCACTGAGAATTACACCACTCAAAGAAAGTTTGTACCTTGCAAACTTAATAAATTTGTGTTGAACACTCTCAAGCCTATTGATGTGGATCTGATAGTAAGGTGACCAAACTATGCATGAAAATTCAAGAACGGACCTGACCAGTGATGTGTAAAGAATTTTGATAGGGCGTATACTTGTAAAGTCCCTAGTAGCTCTCTTAATAAACCCCAACATTTTATTAGCCCTGCCAATTACCACTTCAAAATGCTCAGTGAACATTAGCCTAGTATCTAGATAGACACCAAGATCTTTAATGATAGAAACTTCAGACAAGCGAACATTGTTTAAGTAATACTGCAAGGGAACACTATGGGTGCGTCTACTGAATCTTATACAACAGCACTTATCGATGTTGAGGGACATGTAATTAAGCTGACACCAATCGTGAACGATGTTAAGATCATTTTGCAAAATAAGTATGTCTTGAGTTGACGTCACCTGACGATACAACTTCAAGTCATCAGCAAAAAGTAAAAAATTTGACGAGAGCAACGATCCTAAATCGTTGATAAATAAGCTGAATAGAAGGGGGCCCAAGTGAGAACCTTGGGGTACCCCAGAGGATGCATGGAAAAGAGAAGAAAGATAGCCATCGATCTTGACTTGTTGCATTCTGTTAGTAAGGTATGATTTCATCCATGAAAATAAATGTCCAGAAACGCCGAAACTTGAAAGCTTTGAAAGAAGGATGTTGTGATTTACCTTATCAAAGGCTTTACTGAAGTCAGTATATATTGCATGAGTTTCTGCATTATTAGCAAATGATGAATTTATGAATGTTGTAAAGAGAAACAGGTTCGTCTCAACGGATCTACCGGCTGTAAAACCGTGCTGTTGACTGATCACAATCTGATGAAATATTTTTGAAAGAATTCCTTCCACGCACTGCTCAAATAATTTTGGAATCGCAGACAGAATGCTGATGGGTCTGTAATTTATTACATCATTTTTGCTGCCTGACTTGTAAATAGGACAAACGTAGGAGAGCTTCCACATTTCTGGAAAAATTCCAGAAGATAATGATTTGTTGAAAATATTAAACAGAGGAAGATACAAAGTGTGAGAACAAGATTTTAGTACTTTGTTGGGAATACCATCAGGTCCTGCAGACTTGTTGATGTCCAATTGCGTTAAAGCCCTCTCAATATCTGTTGGATCTATGACAATGCTTGAAACATTCTCAAATCGATCAGCAAAGGTTCCAGCGTCGGAATTTCTCTGAGGGTTATAGACGGAGGAGAAATAGACAGCAAAAAGATTAGCTATGTCAGTAAGATAAAGACAGTGCCGGATTTAGGCCTTTTGCCGCCGGGTACAGATTTATCGGATCGCCGCCTCTTCTACCCCATTACAGAAAAGAAACAAGTTGAATGTGAACGTATACTTTTTTTTCTACAGAAACGAAATAGTTATTTAAACATTAAGTTTTGAAAACGACTTTTTTCGCACGGCCGAGAGTTTGTTGCGATTCGAGCGAGTGTAAAATATTATATTGTGCAACAAGTGCTGAAAATGGCACTTTTCACACGCGTGGGGAAGTTCGGTGGCACGAGCCGCAGGCGAGTGGCGCAAACCCCACGAGTGTGAAAAGTGCTTTTCAGATACTTTACACACTATACTTTTTCCACTATAGGAATTCACATTGAGATTTTTTTTTTGTACGTACCTACGCTGAATGCAGACAGAGTTGCTTGCAGAATAAAAATTCAGTGGAAGAGTCATTTTTATTTTAGCGTGCAAAAAGTACTTTTCACATGGTCGGAGCGTGTCCCCCGAGTGTCCCGTACAGCTCATTTTTAGGAACAAACAACATACATTTTTGAAGAATTTTTGTAAGGTATATTTAAAATTAAATATTAAACATAAATCAAACTAATAATATGAGAATACCAAATACCATTTCTCATTACTTAAAAAGATTTCTCATTTTTTTCATCACTGATCGATCGCAGAAAAAAATAGTACATATATTTCGGAGGAAAAGCCGAGAGTGTGCTGTAGTGTTTGCTTGCCTCGACTGCGCCTCGCCCGTCAACTTACACCATCGGTCGAGAATCTGTCACTTTTCCACCTGAATCCACAATATACTATTTTTGAAGATAGCCTGTGGGTACTATTCTGTTGAACAAATCTTATCAAATTTACCATTTATTATACAATTACTATTTTTCTTGCCTTTAATAACTTGGCGAAAGAATTCCATGTAGGTAACTGTTTAATTTGGAAAAAAAACCGTACTTCCCTATCAGGAAATTAGAATTTATCTTTTTGCCGCGACTGGACTGTTTATTGATGAAATATGTTTATTAATTTATTTAAAATTAATAGCTTTGTTCCAACCCAGCAGGGAACCATACATTTCACCATCAGGAGTCTGCGCAACATGTAAAATTTGTGCGAAGAATCCAAAATTGGTAGGTATACAGAGTGGCTGAAAATCCGAAACCGTTCTTGGACGGTTCTTTGGCGGATTGGAACAGATCTTATAGCATGATTGTTGGAGCTTTTTTTTTATAAATATTATGGAAGAAAACGGCGGCTTTGCTGCCTTCTACCGCCGCTTAAAATTTTACCGCCGGGTCTTTTGGAGCCCCCAGAACCCCCCTAAATCCGACACTGGATAAAGAATGAAGAAATGGTCCAATTTTATTTCCTAGGTTACAGTTCAAGTTTTCATTAAGGACCCGGAAATTCCATACGCAGCCGACCGCGAAACTGACAACCTAAGAAAACACTCGAGAAAACATTACTTTTTACTTTTTTTAGCTAGCTCTAGAATTCAAGTTTTCACGTGATGTTTTACAACTGTTTCTTAAAAGTCTTACGTTATGGAAGCTCTGAGAGGTTCTTTGAAAATAATACAAAAAGTTAGTTATTCGCATTTTTTCTAATACAGTTAGTACATACCAGTCCATAATCTTCTTCGTCATCGCACATAAAATCGTCGTCGGACATTTTATACATAAAATGGGTTTGTGTCAGTCACTTCTAGAAATACAATGTTCACTTTTACTTAATTCGTAAAAATTAAAATTATTCAAATAGCACCACGCCGCCAAACGACAACACAAAACAGTCAAAACACAAATAAAAAGTCCCTCTCTCCCTCTTGGCTTGGCACAACTCACTTTTTCAGGCAGTGTTGCCAGTTTTTTTCTAAAATTCGTTGTAGAAGATGGGCACTTACACTGTAGGAGGCTGTGGCACTTACCAAAGGTTTTTTGTTTGTGTTGTTTGGAGCAGCACTTCCTGCTTTGGGATGTTCGTTTGTGAGCGTTTTACGTTTTACATGGTTTATCTGCCATAATCTGAAATAATAGGCCTGTTTCTGCAGAAATCGCAAACCAGTCAGAGTGAATTTCATTGGTTGAAACCATAGACTGTTGAAACTAACTTTCTGACTGTTTTCAACCAATGAAATTCGCTCTGATTGGTTTGTGATTTCTGCAGAAACAAACCTATTTTACAGCTTAGTTCAAGCTCGTGCGACACAAACAAACACAACGGGGTAACCGGGGATTTTTGTCGGTTTTTTCGGTTAGAGATTTTTTGACGTACATCAATTGCTTCGAATGAGCACTACTATCGGCAGTCGTTCGTTAAAATTGTTGCAACACAACCATCACAACTAAACTTTAAAGGTGCATCCAGACCGGTGCAACAAACAGCGCAAAACGTTCGCGAACGTCCCAGAACATCATTTCAGTTTGGACGGTTGCGCGCTCAAAACTGCTCGCGCGCGCTCTGTTTTGCGCGGCGCAAAATGTTTTCCATGCGGTGTCGGTACATAAACAAAAAATTGTTCCAGCAGTTTAGACTTTATCCGCGCTGCGCGAAATGTTTGTTGCAAAACGTTCGCGAACGTTTTGCGCTGTTTGTTACACCGGTCTGGATATGCACCTTAATATACGAAAGCGTTCCAAAAACATCAGAAAAATCTTGTAACCGGACTGAAGCCTAGTACTCATAACAGCGAAATTCGCTCTTTTTTGACATTGCTTCGACAATTTGACGTTTTATGCGTGAATCAATCATAGCTTAGTTATAGTTTGGTGGAAATGGCCAATCTGCTTCCGCCTCCCGCGCAGTTAAACAAAACTCCCGCTTTTCCCAAAATTAGAAATTACATGAAACATAATTCTGAATTAGGTGCCCTTATTTATTTCTATCATAAGTTTAATACTTCATGTCTTCATTATTAATCTGGCAACCCAACGCAACTGGCGAGCTTTACGCTTATCGTCGAGAGGCGGGCGCACTTTGATAATATATTTGAATCTTTCTTTATTTCCAATTCCAAGCGAAGATAGAACTACTCAAGCCTGAGAGCTTGATGGGCATCAAATCTGAACTGAAGGTATCCTACCTTCGTTGTGACGCTGACTGTAGATTCTAAAGGGGGTTTGGGCTCCAAGAGTTCTCTACCAAGCTCCACTTTAAAGCCAGGTTCGGTTGTCACGGTCCAAGTATACTTGGAGTCTTGGAGGCTACGTACGCCTCACATGGACGACACTTTTATCGTATTAAGTGTTTATCCAAGTCCAGGATCGGTCCTAACATCTAACATCCAAGTAAGTAAGCTGGCTGCTAACTTACTTGGTCCAAGTATAAGTTGTGTAATCCAGTGCCGACAAAACTTTTCCTCTTGTAATAACTATTATTGGTAAGTTTGGCAACAACGTCCATACAATTTTTGAATTCGTTTTGAATATAAGAATTTGTTTAAATTGCACCACTGATTTCAGAGATAATTGACCGTCCCGTTATTTTTCATACACTCTGTAGGTATATGATAAAATGTGACAAAATTAAGCCGTGGCACCCCAAAAAAATTTCCGCCTGCGGCGAAAAATTATTTTTCCCTCCCATTCACTACCTCCCGCTTTTCAATTTTAAAAATCTGGCAACCCTAGATACTAATGATACTATACTAGGTATAAATAGTATTGTTGCTTTTATCGTGTATCACAGCTCCAACTAGGGTTGCCACCTTTTGATTTCCGAAAACCCGTACATAATCGAAGCTAACTTTTTTTTGTAATCGCCTTTATAAATTTTATATCAAGTATTAATTATTATTAATTATGTAATCCAGATATTCCCGGACATTTTCATCATGCGTCCGGACACCGGACAAACCTTTAAAAAACCGGACAGTCCGGGTGAAAACCGGACAGGTGGCAACCCTAGCTCAAACATAAACACGACCTTAGACGAAAAGAGCTATTCCAAACTAACCTGTCGTCGTAGTGAATGCTATTCTGTGTATGTTGGTAATTTAGACGAAAAGAGCTGTCTTCGATATGTATGCTAGTCTTTGCATGGAGGTATTTTAAACGAAAAAATCTAATCCAAGGATTGAATTGAAACTAGCCCGTCCTCTTAATAATCTTTAAGAAAAAAATAAATAAAATACCCTACGGAAGCGCAGGGAGGGCCACGTATCCCAGGACGGGCTAGTTTCAATTCAATTCTTGGATTAGCTCTTTTTATCTAAAATACCAAGACACAGAGCAGAGCCTCGCATTCATTACAGAGAGATGGCTTAGTGTGGATTAGCTCTTTTCGTCTAAAATACCAAAATATAGAGACAAGCACTTATTACGATATATTTGGTAACCGGTGTCTCGAGCTCTCCCCATTCCTACGACTTGACTCTTGAAATGCTTCCAGTGTGTATCTCAAAAATATTAGGTGTTGCTGGGGTGAAAACTGAAGCAGAATGAGGCAGGAACATAGCAATACAAGCAGGAACATGTTTGAGCGATCCTGCTTCTAATGTGTTGCCAAGGGTGAAGTTAGCTACCAAAATAAAAATCGCTGTATCCCGATAATAGTAAGTGTTGCCGGGGTCAGATTTGATGCAGAATGAGGCAGGACCATAGCAACACAAGCAGGAATAACATGTTTGAGCGATCCTGCCTCCAGTGTGTTGTCAAGCCAAGGGTTAAGTTACGAACCATAATGAAAATCCCTGTATCTCGGAAATAGTACGTGTTGCCGGGGTGTGATTAAAAGCAGGATAATATTAGGCAGGAACATAGAAAGAAACAGAAGCAGGAACATGTTTGAGCGATCCTGCTTCCAGGTAACGGTGTCTCGAGCTCTCCTCATTCCTACGACTCTTGAAATGCTTCCAGTGTGTATCTCAAAAATATTAGGTGTTGCTGGGGTGAAAACTGAAGCAGAATGAGGCAGGAACATAGCAACACAAGCAGGAACATGTTTGAGCGATCCTGCTTCCAATGTGTTGCCAAGGGTGAAGTTAGCTACCAAAATAAAAATCGCTGTATCCCGAAAATAGTAAGTGTTGCCGGGGTCAGATTTGAAGCAGGATGATGCAGGATAGAGGTGGGAAACTATCGAAGAATCCAACTATCGATATATCGATAGTAACGAATAAAAACTATCGATGGATCGATACAACTATCGATAAAAAAAAGGGTTTACGTTTTGGACCCATAACACAACTATAGGTCTGTTCCCACAGGAGTCTCTGATAGTTTGCAAACTGTCAGAAACAATCGCTCAGCTGAGTTACAGATTTATCTTGTAACGACAGCATTGAAAACATGCATGGGCGATGCTTACCGACAGTTTGCAAACTGTCAGAAACTCCTGTGGGAACAGACCTCATATCAAGAACAACAATACCCAAATGAATTTTAATATCGTGAATAACAATATTTAATTACACACGTTTTTTTTTCTTTAAGCTGGAAGTAAAAAACAAATATAAACACAACTGAAATAAAGTGTAGTTGAGTTGAAGGTTTGTTGTTAACTGATGATAACAGAAAACATAAACTCATCTTAATCTTTTTTAGTTTTGATTCAACTACCAACCAACCAAAATAAAAAACAATCATAAAATATGATGAAAGATGGAATGTAAATGATAGGAGGACTGCTATCGATTGTCCAAGTAGAACTATCGATAGTTCGATAGTGTGGCAAACTATCGATATATCGATAATTACCATCGATAGTTTCCCACCTCTAATGCAGGACCATAGCAGCACAAGCAGGAACCTGTTTCAGTGATCCTGCTTCCAATGTATTGCCAAGGGTGAAGTTAGCAACCAAAATGAAAATCGATATATTTCGAAAACGGTGGGTGTTGCTGGGTTGCGGTTTGAAGCAGGATGAAGCAGGAGCATAGCAGCACAAGCAGGAACATGTTTTAGCGATCCTGCTTCGAATGTGTTGCTGACTTCCCCGACATCAAAACAAAAGTACGTTGGGCTATTTATTTCAATCGGTCTGCCCTCGTTTGGATTATAATCGCTCTTAGAGCACTCCTGCGGAGATCTGTGACGTCACCAACCAGACGGGAAGCGCTCTAGGAGCAATAAAGCCAAAAATGTTATAACATTTATTCATGGTCATCAAGTGGTTTTTGATGATGACGACGACGAGAAGAAGCTCTGGTGCTTTTGCAAAGGTTGAGGAATATGCAGAAGAGCTCGCGCCCCGTTTTAAGCCTAGTACCCATAACTGCGAAATTCGCTTTTCTTTTAACATTGCTTCGACAATTTGACGTTTGATACACGCATAAAACGTCAAATTGTCAAAGCAATGTCAAAAAAATGCGAATTTCGCAGTTATGAGTACTAGGCTTTAATAAGATGTAGTACAAGAAGCACTGTGTCCTCCGTGCGTCATCCCAAACAGGCAGGCCCAGCAGGCTGAATGTGAGTGCCACACCATGCGACACTTTCCTCGCCTAAGAAATTTGCGATTAATTTGGAATCGCCTCTATCACGATCACCTATGATAACTGATAAGCGATTGTAGTTATAGGAATAGAGGAATGGGATGTTGGCAATATTGGACGCCTGCAAGGAGGGTTGCCAGATTTTGAATATTTAGAAGCAGTGCATGGGAGGGAAAAATAATGTTTCGCAGAATAATTTTGGGGTGCCACGCCCTAACTGTGCCACATTTTATCAAATAATAGGTCTGCAGTTTCTGCAGAAATCACAAACCAGTCAGAGCGAATTTCATTGGTTGAAAACAGTCAGATGAAACAGTCAGGAAACTAGTTTCAACCAATGAAATTCACTCTGACTGGTTTGTGATTTCTGCAGAAACAGACCTATTATAATACCACAAGAGAAAGTTCGGAAAAGTGGCACTTTCCGCACGAGCTAAGATATATAAAAGTTAATATTTGTATCAATTTTGGTTATTTTTACTTTTCCGCACTAGGTAGTGCGGAAAAGTAATGCTTTCATGACCTAAAATACGTGCGGAAAGAAAAAACCATAGGTAAATAAAGTTGAGTAGTGGAGCTCAGAGACAGAGCAGAGAAATTATTCTCTGAGAGAATCTCACAGCTCAAACTCATCCCTATACAATCTTACAGTCGGTGTCACAATCAGACGCCCGATCCAGCTAGATACGCTCTCAGGCTTGAGTAGTTCTGTCTTCGTTTGGAATTCGAAATAGAAACGGATGCAACTAATTTAAAATTATGATAAAAATAAATGGGGACACCTAATTTGAAATTATTATTCCATGTAATTTCTATTTTGGGGAAAAGCGGGAGTTCTGTTTAAGTGCCCGGGACGCAGAAGGTTCAGTAAAAAAGCGGGAGACTCCCGCCTAAATACTAAATCGGGGGGAGGGTTGGCAATAATAAGGGCGGGTATTATAACACTATTTTGACAGAATAACTAAAGGTTTACTTCTAGAATGCCGCTACTTCTCATATAATTCCAGAAGTTAACTTTCAGTTATCTGTCAAAATAGTTTTATAATACCCGCCCTAAGTCGTCAGCATTTAGAGGCCGTAGTTTAGAATTTAAATTTATTATGAAAATTTATTTAATTTTGATTAACATAATAGTTGTATTTCTTTTAAGAGTTTAAAACACCAGAGCTACTCGCTCCGGTGTTACTCGACCGGGCTGGGATCACGACAAGTAGAATTCCACTAGAACTCCATTTTCATGACTTCAAGTCGCCTAGCAACCGTCATCATCGCCTGTACTCTACGCGATAGATAGGTCGCAGGTGACGTCATGAAAGTAGAATTCTACTTGTCGTGATCCCAGCCCTCTGATTTGAAAGGAACAAATGCACTGGCTTTCATGCATTTAAATGGTTTGAGTCGGACTTAAGCACTCAGGTGCATCAAACACTTTTCGAAAGGAATAAGCGCGTCGGAGCTGTTCCAGAGCTCCTCCCAAGTAGATGTATTCCTTTCAAGAGTTTGAAACACTCGAGCTACTCGCTTCGGTGTTTAGTCGCCCCCGATTTGCAGGGAACAGATGCGTTGTGCCACAAACACTTTTCGAAAGGAATAAGCGCGTGAAGCCCCGGAGCTGTTCTGGAGCTCCTCATAGATGTGAAAGGAATACAACTAGTGTGAAAGGAATACAACTAATAGGCAAAGAGGAATATGAAAACGAGATCTAAAAAAGAGTTGTTTTAGAATGTTAATTAATGTGTAGTAAAACCAAATATGCATAAAGCAAAAAAAAGCCCGCAGAATCATAACCTGTAGTCTAGGGAGGGGTTTTGGGGGTTCAAACCCCCCCCCCCAAAAAAAATTATAAAATTCAAAAAATTTAACTTAAAAACAAACAACACTTATTAAATATTTATTTTTTTAATTTTTTTTAATACTAGTGTAACAATTTTTTTGCCACTTTGTCCAATCCCCCCAAAATTTTGGTCTAGATACGGCCCTGCGTCCAGGCGAGAAAGGACATGCTCTCTACGCCACCACAGGTGATTTGGGTTTTGGGGCGGAGGGGGGATTTGCTCCACACAGGCCTTACGAGGATAGGCTATCATTTAGTAGTAGTGTGTTATCCTTGGCCCGGCCTTCAACTTCTGCTATGATGTCGCCATCTAGGAAAGTACGCCTCAACCCCTACACTACACTACCAGCTTTTTCTAGCTCCTATGCTTGTTTATAAATCCTACGCTCTTCCATCTATCGTATGGAACTACGAACTACTCAATTAACGAGTAGTAGATCAGTGGTTAGTTATCAACCAAACTCATAGATGGCAAATGAGTCAAAATCCCTGAATGTACCTAATCCATTTGAAAAATTTTACCATCTCACCATTTTTAAAAAAATTCAAAGGGGAACACTTTTCTAACACCCATTGACTTGAAATCAGGACAAGACAAGACATGTATATTTCATTAGTTGGATTATCAATATCATTTTATAGTTTCAAACGCAAAATGTCTGAAAACTTTCACAATCACAAGATGCGAAAAGAATTAAAAAAGTAGGTTTCTACTTTGGAATAGCTTAAAGTGTGAAAAAATTCAAAATACTCGATATGTGCTCAAAACTTCCCAAAAAAAAACAAAATTGAAGCGCCCAAATCTCGCGCCAATTTTCCTTTGCACGTCAGCGTCAGCCGACGGTCAGCCCCCTGTACTCCTGTCAGTCAGTCAGTATTGTCAAAAACTACGATTTTATCCGCTAGGGGCGCTGGGTGTTTGCTCTTGGCTCTCTCTCTCTTCTCTCTCTGCCTGCCGCCAATGCTGCCTGGCTAAAATATGCGTGCTAAGAAAAAAGTAGTTCCGAATTTTAGTATAGTTTTTCCCCGATATAGAGAAAAAAATAAGTCAAATGGTGTTTGAAGTAGGTTTGAAGTGTTCACGAAGGTATTATATACAGTTTGGACTAGAATTAACGTGGCGAAATCTCAAAATGGAAAAGTGATTTCTTGACAAAGCGATGGCGTAGGAAACGGACTTTTACCCATAAACGCTTTAACCTCCATTCGTGTTATTGAAGTAGAGATACGGAATTAAAGTTGTGTCAGATGTGCCCATTATTTTAAAAAAATGCGAAAAGTGACATTGTGTGGTATTTTTTAGGACTTAACGGACTTGACGAGTGACTTTGTCGATAAGTTTAGTATGTGTTTGCAAGGACCAGGAGGCATTAAGGCCTCCCAAAACGTGAGAAAGTGTCGGTTGTTGATTATAACGGCGGGGTGTCGGCAACGATTATACAAAGGCTAAAAACACCGGCAGCGGAATTTCCTTATAAAAATGAGCCAGTATCGTCAAGACGGAGGCGGCGGATCTACTGGACCCACCGGGCAGGGCCCTACCACAGCTGCCGCTGGCCCAAATGGCGCTATAGAAGGTGAAGGGGAAACTTCTTCAGGAGCAGGAGGACCTGCTGGAAACCCACAAGATTCTATTGCATATTCGACAGAAGGTCCTCTGTCAGGGCCTCCTCCACCAGAAGCTGCACATGGTTATGCACCTTTTGTTTATGGTTCAGGAGGAACAGATCACACGTTTGGACCTCGCCAGCCGTTTGGGGCAGCAGCTAAGCAGTTACCACCTCCGCCACATCGATTCATGCCGGGCCCCCCGCTTTCACAGCCCTCAGGTCCGACACCAACGCTCAATCAACTTTTACAAAACCCAAATCCTGTTCCTCATCGTTATCAAAACAATTATGTGCAACCAGAACATCACTATAATCAGTGGCCCCAAAAACATGCACAAACATACGGACCCGGGCCAACCCCATCACCAGGACCTTACAGACAACAACAAGTGAGTTATTATTATAGTTGAAATTTCCTTCCTGTTCCTTTAGTGTAGTTATTTAACTGGTTTAATATCTCCCTTATTTTTTTGTTTGATTTAATTCAGCTTTTTGTTGTAGGCAATGTGATAAATATACCTACTGATAGTATATAATTTGAATCACATTAATTACAAAATAGATAACTAAGTCGATTATTCCGCTATAGACTTCCTATAATTAATCAACCATAGTAGTTTTATATTTTTGTGTGTAATTCTAACCATTTGGGGTAGGGGGGGTTCAATTATCAAAACAGGTGTTATACAGTAAACAAATCATGTTGTTAATCTTTTATTTATTTTCTTGGTCATGCAACTAATGACCTTGAACTTGATCCAATATAGGATTACATTCCTCTCACTTTATTATTATGCAGTCAGCTGACGTGTTGCACTTGCCAAATACTTCCTCATTTTCATAAACCCACTCAAACTTTATTTTTACTGACACATTCTATTTTCCCATTGATCGTTTCCCCAATTGTTTTATTAAGTATTATTTCCATCTTGATTGATTTGTAAGCTGTAAGCACAAACTAGGTTTATAAACCTAGCACAGCAGTCCCATGGTGGAAAAACAGTTTGGGGCTCATATATCATTAATTAGGTGCTTTTTAGTTGCTAATTAGGGACTCTAATTAAAAATTAAGTGCTCCTTGGTTTTTGAGAAAATCGAAAAAAAAACAAAAAATTACTTGAGGGACTGCTAGGTTTATGAAAGCTAGCACTTTACTTATGGAAAATAGTTATTTATTATACAAGACGGTAAAAAGATGCTTTACCTTTGAGTGGAAAATGTTGATTCACAAGCGACGAAGGAGCGAGTGGATTAATTCCACGAACAGGTAAAGCTTTTTTACCGTCGTGTGTTACATTCTATTTTATTCTTGAGCCACTGTTTATTTATCACAATTACTAAAATCATAAACTAAAATGTGCTAAATTTTACATAGATTATGACAAATTGACAAAGTACCTAATAAACTGACACATTTCAGGTGTTGTCAATCATGCAACATATCAGATTTCTGTCAAAAACACTATAATTATTATAAAAGATTTGAACAAGAGGGTAAAATTGACGTATGAGTGGGAAAAATTGACGTATGAGTGGGTAAAATTGACAAATGAGTGGGTAAAAATTGTTCGATTTCACTACTTCAAATAAAGTGTTACTTTAACAACGAGTTTTGAGTCGATTAAATGATAGTTTACCATTCGCGATAGAATAAAAATATTTTTCTGAAATTTTTTTAGTGCCTCAATTACTAAGGTGTTTTTTAGGTGCTTACTCGGGTGCTAATTGGGGCCTTCAGTGGCTTCATTTAGAAATTACGTGTTCTTGAGGAAGTCAAAGTGCTAAAATAAAGATATTTATTCATTTATTTATTTAAAAAAACTAACTTTCATGAATGGCTAGGTTTATGAAAGCTAGCAACTTCGTATTAAAAACGTATATAAAGTTAGCAGTGCAAAGTCAGCAGTTTATGGAAATGCTACCATTTCCATAAACAAAATCTCTATTTTCAGCTTTTTTTCGTATATTTTTTTAAAAACGAGATGCACTGCTAGGTTTGTGCAGTACACATATTGAGATTTATGAAAGAAGGGATTGGAAGAGTTTTCAACATAGGAATCAGTTAGTGCTGATTAAGTGCTAATTAAGTGCTAATAAAATGCCAAGTTACCAAATTTTGTGCTCTTGTAGTTTCCGAGATGTGGCATGCACTGCTAGTTACCTGTTAAAGATAGCAGTGCACCATCCATGAATAATTCAGGAAAGTGGTAGGGTGATATAAATGATGAAGAAAATTGAATGCTACCATTTCCATTAACAACATTTCTATTTTCAGCTTTTTTTCACATATTTTTTTAAAAACAATGTGGTACACTGCTAGCTTTATGCAGTACACATATTGAGTTTTTATGAAAGGAGGGGTTGGTGAAGATTTCGACATTGGAAAAATTTAGTGCTTATTAAGTGCTTATTAAATGCCAAGTTACCAAATTTTGTGCTCTTGTATTTTCCGAGATGTGGGCCTGACCTCTGTTGAAGATAGCAGTGCACCATCCAGGAATGATCCAGGAATGATCCAGGAAAGTGGTAGGGTGATATAAATTATGAAAAAAGTTAAATGCTACCATTTTCATAAACAAAATCTCCATTTTCAGCTTTTTTTCACATATTTTTTCAAAAACAACGCAGTGCACTGCTAGCTTTATGCAGTACACATATTGAGCTTTCATGAGAGAAGGGATTGGTAGAGTTTTTGACATAGAAATAAAATAGAGCTGATTAAGTGCTAATCAAATGCCAAGTTCACAAATTTTGTTGCTCTTGTAGTTTCCGAGATATCACCTGCACTGCTAGTTACCTGTTGAAGATAGCAGTGCATCATCCAGGAATAATCCAGGAAAGTGGTAGGGTGATAGAAATGATGAAGAAAATTGAATGCTAATTAAATGCTACCATTTCCATGAACAAAATTTCTATTTTCAGCTTTTTTTCGCATATTTTTTTTAAAAACAATGTGGTGCACTGCTATCTTTAACAGGTAGCTAGCAGTGCATGCCACATCTCGGAAACTACAAGAGCACAAAATTTGGTAACTTGGCATTTAATAAGCACTTAATCAGCACTAACTGATTCCTATGTTGAAAACTCTTCCAATCCCTTCTTTCATAAATCTCAATATGTGTACTGCATAAAGCTAGCAGTGCATCACATTGTTTTTAAAAAAAATATACGAAAAAAAGCTGAAAATAGAGATTTTGTTTATGGAAATGGTAGCATTTAATTTTTTTCATAACGTCGGCATCATATGAAAATTGCCTAAGTCCAATTTTTTTCGAAATTAAGATTTTAGGGCAGTCTTGTGAGAAACTCAATAATCTATGATCCAACAAAATATTTGGGAGATAAATTGTTAGATGGAGCCACACAACCATGAAAAGAAATTTGCACAAGTCCGTCGTCGTCATAAGACAGAGTGAAACTTGCGTAAGTCCAATCTTTTCTGTGCATTTTTGCCGGTGATTTGTTACGATTTGTATCATGTAGTTTTTCTTCACAAAGGTTTTTTGCCCCCCTGTAAAATTTACCTTTTTGGACGATAATTTAAATCACCCTTTAATTACCCTTCCTGGATCATTCCTGGATGGTAAACATCTATCTTCAACAGAGGTAGCAGTTCAGGCCCACATCTCAAAAACTACAAGAGCACAAAATTCGGTAACTTGGCATTTAATAAGCACCTAATAAGCACTAAATTATTCCAATGTCGAAATCTCCACCAACCCCTTCTTTCATAAAAACTCAATATGTGTACTGCATAAAGCTAGCAGTGCACCACGTTGTTTTCAAAAAAATATGCCAAAAAAAGCTGAAAATAGAAATTTTGTTCATGGAAATGGTAGCATTTAATTAGCATTTAATTTTCTTCATCATTTATATCACCCTACCACTTTCCTGGATGGTGCGCTGCTATCTTTAACGGGTAGCTAGCAGTGCAGGCCATATCTCGGAAACTACGAGAGCACAACATTTGTTAACTTGGCATTCAATTAGCACTTAATTAGCACTAAATTATTCCTATGTCGAAAACTCTACCAATCCCGAGGGGTCAACCACTCTGTGAAAATGTGTAGACGTATTGCGAAAATGTCTGTATTTCGCAAGTATTCCGCAAAATCCAAAGTATTTCGGTGGTGGTAATTCGGACCTAGTTTTTCGTGGTATTGCCGAGTTCTTTGAAATATTTGCAGGTAATTCTAAGTATTTCGAGGTAATTCGAAGTATTTCGAGGTAATTCGAAGTATTTCGAGGTAATTCGAAGTATTTCGAGTTAATTCGAAGTATTTCGCGGTGAGCCAAGGTATTTCGCGCTATTTAAAATTATTAGTATTTTTTTCATGTAACGAAATCAATCAATCAATCAATCAATATATTACAGAATTTTTTCTAATTTACATTGTTTAACAAAGTATACTTATTGCTATGTGTAGTCTTAATTTGCTATTTTAACACCTAGGCGATTTGATCCCCTGTATGTTACCTAAATATTTTCAATTTGTTTGAAAATCAATATATTGTATTTTTTCTGAATCTATTAATCTTAACCTAATATTACATAAATATTTGCAGTGTAAGGCAGCTAAGCATTTTTTTAAAAACAATTGAATTTATCCTTATTTATTAATTTCTCTCTAATAACTTCATTTCAGAAGTTTAACAAATTCCTCATTTCTGTTAAATATAAGATATCTACAGTTTTTGATAATTTTTTTCAAATTTGATGTTTTCCTTAATTCTACTGGTAATAAGTTGAAAAACTTTGGGCCTAAATAATTTAAGAATCTTAAGTTCATGGTTGACTTACTTTGTGGTATCTGTAGGTTCATTTGAGTATTAGTTCGAGTTTGGTAATCATGATTCACATATTTCTTAAAATTACTTTGTTTGTATACAAAAATGCATGTTTCTAAGATGTATATGAATCTTACATTAAAAAACTGATCACTGTATAGTTGCTGGGTTGGGAAAAGTTTATTCTTCTTATATATAAGTTTGAGTATATAATTTTGTGCCACATTGAGCTGTTCCAGAACATTATTATACAGACCACCCCAAACTATAATACCATATCTTAGTAGAGACTCTACCAAAGCCTTATATATTGATATTAATAACTTTTGGCCCATTGATTCTCACAGTTGATAACATTTGTGGATGAGCTTCCTGACATTATTTTTCAGCTTCAAAACCTGCTCTTCCCATTTCAAGTACTTATCAATGATTACCCCAAGGTACCTTATCTGAGGGACCTCCTTGATTTCACTCTGGAAATTCTCCACGTAAATGCCAGAGTAATCCGGTGGATTTGCCATAGTGAGTGAAAATGTATATATTTGGTCTTTTCAATGTTTAACGTAAGTTTTTTATTGTCTAGCCAGTTTTTCACTTTAAT